CTTAAATTAATAAGATTATAATAAGAAATTAATAGTTATAGCTATTACACATTCTTAAAATTTTTTAGGCTTAGCTAAGAACTACTTTAAAAAAAGATAAAAGCTAAAACAGCTAGATTTTAAAAGAGCTATAAGTAAAGAACTAAAGAAAAATAATAATAAAAACTTTATGTTAAGTATTAGAAAAAACTATAACAAAATAGACTTATTAAACACTAAAAGTAAAATAAAGGACAAAGAAAACCTTAACAAAGACACTTATCCTTAAAATAGGCTAAAATAACATGCTATAGCTAATATAAAAAGAAAGACCCTAATAATAAACTAAAAGAAAGTAGAAGTGTTCTAAAAGTGCTACAACAGCCTATTAGCAGGCCACTTTAGTGTAAAAAAGACGCTTAAAAAGATTATATATTAATATAATTAAAAAAGGCTTAAAAAGGATATAAAGGTGTACTATAACAACTGCCTAAAGTGCAGATAATTAGTAGCTCTACAACACTACTTATATAGGCTTCTTTACTCTTTGCCACTGCCTAATAAGCCCTAGCAGGATGTTATAATAGATTTTATAACACAGCTGCCCCCTTATAAATACTTAGGGTTAGTATATAATGCAATTCTTATAATAGTAGACTGTCTTACTAAGATAGCCTACTATGTGCTAGCTAGAGCTAATTAGGAGGCTTTAGACCTAGCAAAAGTTTAGTTAAAAAAAGTTATTTACTTTTATAAAGTTTTAAAAAACATTATTTTTAATTAAGGGCTAATAATAAACTTAAAGTACTAAGATAGTTTTTATTACTATTTTAGCATATAAAGGATTTTTTTATTAGCCTACTATCCTAAGACTAATAAGTAGACTAAAAGACAAAACTAAACTCTAGAACAGTACTTTAGATGTTACTATTGCCTAGAATAAGATAATTAGGTAATGTAGTTGCTAATAGCAAAGTTTATGTATAATAATAGTGTACATATAACTACAGGAGTTACTCCTTTTTAAGCATACCACAGAGCGAACCTAAGAGGGCCAGATTGGCCTAGAGAACCCCTAGGTTAGGGGGAATCGCACATAGTAAACAGAGTTGCTGCAAAAGCACTTGCTTTACAGTTAGAATGCTACTAGAAAATTATTACTGCAAATGTGTATTAAAAAAAGTATGTAGACAAACAACAAAAGCATATACAGCTATAAGTAGAAAATAAAGTATTAGTCTTTAATAAACACATAAAATTAATAAGGCTAAAAAAGAAGTTAGACTAGAAGTTCTTAGAACTAGAAAAAGTTATAGCCTAAATTAGCGCAGAGGTGTATAAAGTAGACCTACCTAATCTAGGAGAAGTTTATCTAGTGTTCTATGTCTTACTTTTAGAGCTATATACCTAGAAAGGGTGTCTTAAGTTGTAATTAAAACTAATTATAAACACTCTACACGCTATAAGAAATAATGTGTACTATGTAAAGAAAATACTTAACTAAAGACAAAACTTAGTTAGAGTATAAAAATATCTTATAAAATAAAAAAGTTATTTATCTAAGAAAAACTTATAAGAACTTAGACCTAATATTAGCTTAAATGCATTAAAAGTGTTCTAGAAAAGTAAAGAAATACATAGCAAAAGATTAAATTATGCTAGTTTAGGTTAAACTTCTTAAAAAAAAAAAAAGTAACTTAATAGATTAAGTATAGCTACCTTTACTTTATTTTTTTCTTACTTAAGGTTTTTTTAACAAGAGGTGTTTAATAGCGCTATAGAAATAAAAAGATAATATAGCTTATTTAGACCTAAGATTTCTTAGTTAGACTAAGTAAGGCTATTCTAGCATAGAATAGCTTACTAGAGTTAAGAAGAGAGTTATTTTAACCTAAGGAAATCTATTATGTAGAAGAAACAAACATTCTAGCCTAGAATAAGCTATACTAGTAAAAAAAAAGTAGAGTTTAAGTCTAGTAAAACATTCTAGAATTTTTAGAATAAAAAAGCTATAAAGTAAGTAAGCTAAAGGTAGATTAATTTATTACTACTAAGACAGTTACACTTTAAGTCTAAAAGATATAATGTAAGAGTATTTAACTTTATTAAAGAAAGAAGAAAAAAGCTTAAGCTAAAAAACTTAAAACTACACTATACTATGCATTCTTAACTATTTTTACTATAGAATGCGCCAGATTACACTAGATTGTGCTATTAGGGCCCTAGATTAGACATTAAGGTCCTCTGTAAGTGAATTTGCAACAGTAGAATAACTATTAGGATATTTCTTATTATACCTAGTTAGCCACTTTTTTTTAGCTAAGGTTTAATTCTAACTAGCCTTATTTTTAATATTATTAGCCTTATTATGCTTTTTAGAGACGTAGTGGACTGTATTAGCAGCTTTAGTAGTATTAACATAATAATGTTGCTTAGCTTTAGTAACATAGACACCTTTAACACTATATTTCTTCTATTATGCTAGTTAGCGCTAGAATAGTTAAGAATAGCACATACTTACTTTCTTAGATAGAGTTATTATAGCTTTATTCTTATTAGAGTTCTTTTTAAGTGCCTTACACTTTTTCTTCTCTTTCTTAGTAATATTAGCTTTAGAGCAGGCGCGCTTCTTAAAAACAACCCTAGTCTTAGCAATTTTACCTATAGCGCTACTATGCGCGTACAGATAGTTGTTGTATAGGATTTTGTTTTTACTATAAACTATTAAGAGCTAGAACAGGGCTAATTAAGCTAGATTATGCTATAACAGGAAGACTTACACCTAAAGGAACTAAATAATAGTGTTTACTTACAACATAACTATTACGTTAGCCTATGCTAACTAAGCAGGGTTAAGTAAATTAACAGAGGCTAAAATATTAAGCATAGTGTCTTTAAGAGCTTATTATTTAGGTTTAAAGGTAATAAGGAGCTATCTAGGGTTAGCCTAGACAGACTGCGCGTAAATACGCTAGAAAAAGCTAGAATACACACTTTAAAGCACTTCTTACTAGATTTAAGGTAATAAGTACACTTAGTGTACTTAATTTTTTTTTTTTATGCTATAACATAACTTATTGTCTATAAGCATATAACAGCTACTACTTTTATTTATAATGCCCTTGTAGGACATTTTGTTAACGCATTAAATATAAGGGTTATTAAAGCGTAAGTTTATGTTAGTAGAAGCTAATTAATTTTTTTTAAAAAAAACTATAGCTAGATTACAACAAAGTAGGCTATAAAAGTCTATTTTAAAGTTGTTAAGTAAAGTTAAGCATAAAGAAAGAAGCTAAGAGCAGATTAAGTAACAGGCAAGTGTAAGTAAAGTAAGATAAGACTATTAAAGCTTATTAGCACCCCTTTACACTAAATTACGCTAGAGTAGCTTAGAATATACTTACCTTAAAAAGTTTAAAATCTTCTAAATTCTAAGCTATAGAAAGGGTAAAAGTGTAAAGAAAATAGATTTCTAAGACAGTTAGACTCTATATATACTGTCCTAACTGCTACTCTATTAGCGTAAGATATACTGCTATTTTACCTTTACTTTTACTTTATACTTTTACTTTACTTTTACCTAATAACTCTAGGTTATTTTTAAATAAACTTGTATAAAATTAACTAAAATAGGTAGAAGCAAGTTTTTAAAGTATTATATAACACTTTTTTATGCTACTTAGGCTTATTGTTATCTGTTCTATCCTCTAAGTTGTAGGACTACTATAAGGGGGGATAATGTAAGGCCAGATGTCCTAGAACAGGCTAGTATGGCCTTACCTAACCTGTTTAGAGGTTGTATGACCTGTGCTTCGTATATAAGCATGAATCCTGACAAGCGAAGCTTGGCAGCAATTCGTCTCTCTTACAATACACTCCTATCTTTCTCTAAAAGCTTGCTCTCAGTGCTATCCGTGCTACTTACCATCCCATCTTTACAATAAAAACTAACAACTACTTAATAACTAGTAAAAAAAGGCCTATAAACTATATTAAATAGTTTTATAAGTATAACCTACTACTTATAAAGTAATAGCTACACAATTTTACTTTAAAGCTTTATAGTAAAAAAGTAGGTAAAGTTTAGCAGAATTACTTAGATAGTGTAACGATTCGCAGGAATCGTTCCATCTCGGGTTGCCCGACGAACCGATATCCGAAGGTTCCTCGTATCAGCCCCGACCCTGCCCTAGCCCCTGCTGTTACCCCTATTCCCCCAAGTATTTAGTCACACCTCTCCCCCGTATCTAGCTCGGTAGTTTTCTGATATCCTTCGTACAAGGCCTATAGGTATCAATAGCATTCCCAGGTTTCTGAATCCCCACGCACTCCCATATGCCTCTGAGTGGATTCATACCGCATTCGGACCCGTTGTCTTGCCTGCGCCGTTACAGATAGTCTCCTTGCTTATAAAACATGCTATATAAAGTAATTATTTTTTATAGTAGTTTTAGAAATGAACTAAGTAGGGGTTTTTATAGCTACTAACAATAAGCATTTTATGTACTTCTAGAGACTAACGTTATTACTTTAGTGGGACGCGCAGCTTACTGATAAAACACGTTACCCTTCCGGGAGCTCGGCGGAGCATGTAGTTGGTCTCCGCTGTGGAAGCCGAGCGCTGCTGATGGGCACATCAGCCACGTCCACAGTGGCGTCGCAAGGTTGCAAATGCCGTCTTAGTGGCAACGTATGTCAATAATTGCTTTAACCTCCTAGTGCACTGAAAGTGGAGCTCAAGCGTGGCATTCTCCGTTTGATCTCCCACTTCTCGCGACCTTAAAACCGAAACCGAAACTTCATGCAAAACAGAACACAAGAAACAGAAGAGTGAAACCATGACAAGGGCTCGACATGTTTTGAACGATGCATCTTATTAGGCATTAACTCCAGTTAATGCCTTACAAGCATTAGCATGTAACACCGCCAAAGCAGTCGCAGAGGTCCAATTAAGAGTTGAGCCGGATCGGCTATTCACACCACAAGTAGATAAGCCATTGCAGATCACGAAGCAAGCTCGACAGGTTTTCATTCATTGCAAGAAAATTCTCCGATTTATTCTTGCCCTTCTCCTGATTAGGCTATCCAATGCGATTATGATGCGCTCTGCCCATGTCGTGAGATCGTGTCTCGAGACTTGCTGAAAGAACCCCCTCCCCTCGAGCTGAGTACCTATATGCGATGCTATATGCTCCATTTGCGAAAACAATATACACACATATGTTAAATGTTTATCAATGCGCCACCAACTCTGTCCCCGTTTCTTTGCTACGTGGTATCATAAATGTGACAACACCATGAAAATGCTGTTTCCAAAAAAGCCGCCTATCTCTCCTATCCATAAAGTCGATGGATTGATGCCGCCAAAACGCCGTGATAATGATGATGACGATCACTCTGAATACAGAGTTTGGTATTAATTGCTGTCTTCGCTGGTGGTTCTGTCGCTTGTAGTCGAAGAAGAGGACTTGTCAGAGCCGGGTAGCGGCCCCAATGTCCACCTCCAGTCTCTTCTTCGCTTCCGGCGACCTGCAACGGGCGTCTCCGGACATGAGTCGCTGTCAGACTCTGATGATGAGGAATCCCTCTTCTCCCCTATGCGCGGCCCTCTCGGCCGAGGTGATCCTTCTAGTGATGAGAAAGCCGGCGAATTTGACTGCTCGGATGGTGACGAAACGGACGGCGAAGAAGGGAAGTTGGGGGATGACGAAGCGGAGGATTCGATTAATAGCGAAACGGTGGAAGACTCCTGTTCTGAGTATGCGGTGGTCTCGACGGAGGAAACCGTGGAGTCCGAACTGATGGAGGATTCTAGGTCTGAATGCGCCAAGGTGTATTTCACAGTCTTGATTTCTTCTTCAAGCGGCGTGCGGAACGACACCTTCTTCTCTGCAGGGAAGAGAGGACGGACGGGCGCCATCTTTCGAGGAATGAACGGTCGGGCGGGGCTGTTGGATAGGATGGAAGTGACGTTGTGGGGTTGCTTGTATGGTATCGAAATGGTCGCGGACTCGTTGGAGGAAGCGGATGTAAGTGTAGACGATAGCGTCGAGGCCGAGTTTGGGGTGGAGGAGCTCTGAGGGTTGGGCGGCGCGGAGAAGGAGCTGTCTATCGATAGTCGCGGTTTCGAGGGTCGACCAAGGGCGGGCGCAGCAGAAGCCGGGACGTCGTAGGCATTCGAGAAGGTGTTGCGCACTGTTGGGGAGACGGCGCTCAACGTGTCGAGCCGTAGGCTGGTGGAGCCTTTGCCAAAGGTGCGTAGCTGGGTGGTGTTGATGTGCAGCTTGGGTCGCGGGGATGCGACTTCGGCGGTGGTGGGAGGGCGGGCTTGGGCCTGCCGTTGCGGTAATATGGCCAGCGACATGGTGGGGGACGATAGGTGTTCACACGACTTGGGGAATGACGGCGACATCAAGTGTGATATAGTCGAAAGCATCATGCGGATGGGCCTGGCGGTGCGGGCGCGGATCGTGACCGTGTAACAGGCCCGTTCGGGAGCAGGAGGTGGGCTCTGATAAGAAGGGAGGGGAGCCGTCTTGAGGACTCAGGCGCAGGCGTCTTCGTATTCTGGGGATGCGGCTGCTGACGGTGGAAGCAGGTGGGAACCAGGGCTTAAGCGGGTACGCAGAGGCGCGATCAGCTCAAGGAGGCGCATTCGGGGGATTCGAGGGGCGAATCGCAGATATATAGAGGCGTGGAGCCAGCACGGCGGGCCTTGGGGACTGGCATGCTGGCTTTGGAGGCTATTTTTCTGCAGCGTGAGTGTCGAAAGTTAGGAGCGCTCCGAGGGTTCAGATGGACGCTCAAGGGGCATGGGTGTGCTGCGTGTTGCGCAAGCGCCTCCGTTTGAGCGCCGCCGAGCCCAGCCAATGGGGGTTATTTTTGGCCCGCAGCTATTATTGGCCTGCATGTGGCAAAATAGACGTCCGAGCCCTCTCCACCTTGCTGAGCGCTGTGATGGTCGTGGAGTATTGGCAATAATACGCGCCGCGTTCGGCCGGTCCCCTAAGTTTTGGGATTCATGCTTCATGCGTGTTTCAACCCTCCGCTCCAGAGTGAAGCTGCGTTACAGGCTCCAGCTCCACCGCACGCCCCCGTTTCCTCCCCTCCAAACCAAACATCGTCACCTCCACCCCTCCCGCCCTCGGACTCCCTCTGTCTGTAACAGCCCTCTCAGCGCACGCCTGTCATGGACTCCATCCCGCGAAGGAGGAGGCTCATCAAGCGGCAGCTCGACTCCATCATCATCCATTTTGTATGTCTTGGTCAGCAGTGAGCACCTCCAGCCAGGCTCGCTCTGCAGCACTGCCCTGCAGCTAGAATCCCCGACATCGTCATCTTTCACGACTGTCGGTCTTATTAACAGCGAGGGCGTTGCTAACGTCTTATCTTTCTCCTGACCGCAGGACTATGTAGGTGCATCTATCAGTCACGGCACCGGCAGACTGCTCACTGGTCACTGGTCACCCTCTCCGTAGGACTGCTTTTACGCTTCAGTATTCGAAGCTGAAACCCCGGCTCTGAAGAGCGTGCCACTGGCTGTGCAGCAGAAACAGATTGTGGTCACATGCAACTACGAGGCGCGCAGACGAGTACGCATCCTGTTCTGCCGTCAATGTTGTTTGACGGAGTGATGTCAGCCTTTACCGCTGACCCTGCCCAGGGCCTGCACAAGCTGCAGCTCATCACGGACGCGAAGCGCATTTGTCCCGACGTAGTAATTGTGCTAGGCGAAGATCTCACGCGATTTAGGAATGCCTCAAAAGAGCTCTACGCCTTTCTCAAGAACTTTTCCTGGAATTCCAAAGTAGAAAGACTTGGGTTCGATGAGGCAAGTAAGCCCTTTCTTTTCAGTCAGCAGATTCCATATGTCTTAACACCGCCGCGGCTGTTTTGGCCTAAGACATTCTCGTCTTCGTATTCTATTTCCATATTGCTCTCAGTTGGCCCACTTCGCCGTCGTGACTAAGAATCGCTTTGAGAAAGACTGCAAATTCTGCCTAGATCTTGCATCGCGTAAGCTGCCTACTTGATTCTAGCAGCTAGCCTTGAAGGTGGACTGGCCTCAGTTGGCGTTCCGTTTCACGCATGAGTGCTCCAAACATTTGTTGACATGACAATAGGTGTTTATGGATGTGTCAGACATCGTCGACTATAATCTCGGGCTTGTAAGTCAGCATGATCTGGAGACTTCATTCTTTTGTCTCTCCAAAAATGACCCAACAGCCGGGTTTACGTTTGACGCCTCTCAATGTGCCGGCCGCACCTATCCGGATGGGGATGGATCAAATGATAAGCTTTGCGTAGACGCCTCCCAATTTGGCACGGATGCCCTGCGGCTCCGATTGCATTTGGGATCCCATCTTGCAGAACACCTACGCCACCAACTTCACTCACAGAAAGGCTACACCTGCACCGTGGGGGTGTCCACCAACAAGCTTCTGTCTAAACTTGTAGGGAGCCTGCATAAGCCTGACGATCAAACGACGTTGTTGCCGCCGTATGTTCCTAACCCTGATACCGATCACCTCGATAACGTGACGTCGTTTATCGATGGACATGAAATCGGAAAGATACCCGGGATTGGTTTTAAGCTTGCGCAGAAGCTTCGAGCTCATGTCTTAGGGAAGCCACTCGAGTCTGATACCGGCTTGATGTACGGTGGCACCAAAGAGAAAGTCCTCGTCGCCGATGTTCGAAATCACCCAGGCATAAGCGTTGACATGCTGGAACAGGTGCTCGGAGGTCCTAGTACACCACATGGGATTGGCGTCAAGATCTGGAGTTTGATTAACGGCAGTGACGACACTGAAGTCGGTCAAGCTCGCGAAGTGCCTAAACAAATTAGCATTGAAGATAGTTACTACATACGTTTGAATACATTGGAGGAGGTGACCAAAGAACTCCGCGTATTAGCAATAAGTCTACTAAAACGAATGCATGCGGATCTTCTGGAGGAAAAGGAAGATCAAGGCCAGGAAAATCTTGAAGCAAGTGCCTTCAGCGCTTCCTTTACCGATGGTGCCGCGAAACGCTGGCTTGCGTTTCCGAAAACACTCCGACTCTCCACGCGCCCACGGACGCCACAGAATCATGATGGGAGTCGAAGCCGTTCGTTTGCTCGGATTTCCCGTTCGTCCCCCATGCCAAACTTTATCTTCAGCCTCAAAGAGAACTCTGACGCTTTAGCGGAACGGTTGGTATCAGAAACTTTAATTCCGCTGTTTCGCAAACTCCACCATGAGAAGAGCGGATGGAATCTGAGTTTGGTCAACATTGCGGCAACGAACATGGTCGCTGCCGCAAGTGGGAAGGGTGGTGTGGGCCGAGATATCTCAAAAATGTTTAAGCAACAGGATAACGTGCTGAAACAATGGAGGATTGAAGATGAAGAAGCCGATTCAGTTAAGAGGGAATTGGACTTGGCTGAGAGAGGCACTGGCACACAAGCGGTAGAAGCAGTAGGGGGAATGGAAGGTGGGTCTGAGGACATACCGACGCGATCTCAAGACCAAGTTGCAGAGGGGGATACCTGGGAGCCCGACGAAGAAGACAACATGAACGAGACTTTTCGGTGCGACCAGTGTGGAGCGATCATGCCGTTGTTCGCCATGGTAGCTCATGATCGTTGGCACTTTCACGGCTCGGTGTTTAGGTAGATAATACCCTATTAGACTTATGTTTAGATGCTACCGTCTGTCTATTTAGAACTTTGCAATACTGCATAGGCTCACAGCTAATTGATTTCATGTGACTGTGACTGGAAGTACACACGATCAAGAGGATTGAGTAATTTCCGCCCCATGTGATCTGCTTTTTTTATGCCTAGCTAGGTAGATCTTTATCCTAGAATTAAAAATAATACCACATGGGCAGGGTCTCGCAACGCCACCCAAATTCGATGTTGACTGCTGCCGGTTCAAGCCAGCCTTTCCGGAACCGGAATCGGAAAGCCGATAAGCACGGATATATCCTCGGCCGGCATTACATCGGGGAGCGTACATGTGAAAGCTAGAATCGAACTTGGAAGGCGCACGTCGACATAACTACTGCCCATCTCTTTCAAATTCTGCGATGCCAATCTTCCTCTTCCCCCCTAAAATTCGTAATAGCAACAATGCCAGGCTCCTCTAGGCTGCCCGTCAGTCTCCGGGAGACTTTCAAAGCGAGGAAGGGCTCCGCAAGAGGGCAACTTGTGGCGCTTAATCTTGATGTGTATGTCGCCATTCAGCATCCTTTGGGACTCTGGTAGCGCGATAATATTCTAATCGCTTCAGTCTTACAGTCTTCGTAATATAATATTTATTCTCTTCCTCCTCCGATGGACGCGTCGACTATTCTACCAACTCAAAGGTCGCGGCATCACTGGTTCTATCGCCGATGTCTACAGGTACACGCGACGAACCCTATATGGCACATTTTTACGTCTTCCCGGTGTGCGCACAAAGGTGCAAACCCAAGTCGCTGAGTCTATCATGAAATTGGAGAGGAGATTGGTGCCGACGGGACCGGGTGTTGAACGCACGATAACGCTCCCTACCGAGGGATGGTCGGAAGAGCAGGTTAGGAAGGCGCTGAATGATCTTGAAGTAATGGAGCATACAAGGTGGGAGGATGGGAAGGTTAGTGGTGCTGTATATCATGGGGGTGATGAGCTTTTGAAGTTGCAAACGGAAGCCTTTGGGAAGTTTACTGTGTCGAACCCTATTCATCCGGACGTGTTCCCTGGTGTCAGGAAGATGGAGGCTGAAGTAGTCGCTATGGTAGGATCCTCAATTGGCATCTGAGACCTGGTATAGACTCATGGTATTCAGGTTCTTTCCCTCTTCGGAGCTCCAGAGGGAGCTGTTGGCGTCTCCACTAGTGGGGGCACCGAATCCATCCTCATGGCTTGTCTCAGCGCTCGGCAGAAAGCCTTCCACGAACGTGGAGTTACCGAACCCGAAATGATTATTCCAGAAACTGCCCACACCGCGTTCCGTAAAGCTGGGGAATACTTCAAGATCAAGATTCACCTCATCGACTGCAGAGCCCCGCAGTACAAAGTCCACCTCCCATCTGTTTCCCGCATGGTTAACCCCAACACTATTCTCCTTGTCGGATCTGCGCCCAATTTCCCTCATGGCATCATTGACGATATCTCCAGCCTCTCTCGAATCGCACAGAAGAAGAAGCTCCCGCTTCACGTTGATTGCTGCCTAGGCTCCTTCCTAGTCCCTCTTCTCTCAAAGGCAGGCTTCGAATCTGAACCATTCGATTTCCGCCTAAAGGGTGTGACTAGTATTAGCTGCGATACTCACAAATATGGATTCGCGCCCAAGGGCAACAGCACCGTCCTGTACCGCTCCGATGCTTTCCGCAAATATCAATACTTCATCTCACCCGACTGGTCTGGCGGCGTCTATGCTTCCCCCTCTATCGCTGGGTCTCGACCCGGCGCACTTATTGCCGGTTGTTGGGCTTCTCTGGTCAAGCAAGGTGAAAGCGGATACATCGATGCGTGCCACAAGATTGTCGGGGCTATGAAGAAAATCGAGGGTGCGATCCGCGAAAAACCAGAACTAAATTCTGATTTGAAAGTCATTGGTCGTCCACTAGTGTCTGTTGTCGCGTTTTTGTCGAACACCATTGACATCTATGACATTGCAGACGGGATGAGCGACAAGGGATGGCATCTTAATGCCTTGCAGAGTCCGCCAGCTATCCACGTCGCTGTCACATTGCCGATCGTGAAGGCTGCCGATAAGTTGATCGCGGATTTAGTCGAGGTTACGGAGGAGGTGCGAGAGCGAGAAAGGAAAACGATTGCGGGAGGGAAAGTGGCAAAGGGCGCGGTAAAAGGAGACGCAGCGGCCTTGTATGGCGTTGCTGGGAGCTTGCCCAACAAGACGGTTGTTGTGGATTTGGCGAAGGGGTTCTTGGACACACTGTACAAAGCGTAGCCGTGTGTAATCGTAAGATTGAGTAATTTAGCAACTTGCTGCGTCATGAGGGTCCAATCTCAACCGTGGTGGGGTTCAAGGCAATACTAAAGTTATTAATACCTCCTTTACATTTCAGCTTCCTGATCAAGGATAAAAGAATTCCTCTCGCTTTTCCTCTCTCACCAGCCAGCTCTCGAGAACAGATGCTCCTCTGCACATACTTCAGCGTCAACCAGTGCTCATTTCAAGACAGAAGCTAGAAACGTAAATCCCCTCCTAAGTTCTAGTAACAACTAGCTATTTGAAGTGTTGTGTATGTGTGAGTGTACAAATAAATAAATAAATAAATAAATAAATAAATAAATAAATAAATAAATAAATAAATAAATAAATAAATAAATAAATAAATAAATAAATAAATAAGTAAATAAATAAATAAATAAATAAGCATATAACTTTGGTAGGGAAAGTAGAACGGCAGAATATATGCAACCTGCAAAGTCTACCTCCTCTTTAGGTTAGTTTCCTCGCAAATCGTAATTCGGAAGCGATCTAGGGAATTAGACTAGGCATGAAGGCAGATTTAGGACCGGTTCACAGATAAGGATGGGAGTGAATTCACCCATTGCCTGTAGGATTGCAAGAGTAACAGTGACAATAGGGATTATACGCATTGTATGCTAAAAAATTCTACTCATCATCTCTATAATAGAAAATTTAAGCTTCTTACACATCAACTGATGAGGAAGTCTTCGACGGAATTCTCGCCGGAGTCTATTCCAAAGCCAGCTTTTTCCGCGGCCTCTTCAGATCGGCCTCGGTAATGCCATTAACGCCAACCTTTGTGATGCCCATGACTGGCGGATCGCCCTTCTTCACGAACTCATACAGTCCTGAGCCAGGTTAGATATCTTCCCACAATACCTTAGGTCAGAGATTGCTCACCAGGAAGCTTATTCCCCGCCAACCTAAACGCATCCCTAACAACCTGCTCGTGCAAATCACCCTTAATCTCAAATATAATCTTGCTCACCGCCACCCTCGCAGCCCAATGATCGAAGCTTCCCTTGCCCTTCCCCATACGATTCTCATTCCCACTCGTGTACACACCAATGTTGGCCGCGACCCGCATGTACAGCCGGAACTTCATACCTCGCAAGCGTTTCCTGATTGTGTCTTCTGCGATCTTAAACTGTTGGGCGGAAACGCGGCGGTCATGGTCACGCATCCGTAGGCCGTAGTCGCCCCATACGACCGTGGTGCCCCGCTGACTACCACCTGTGGGCACCCGGCAACGACCTTTGCGCGACTTCCTGGACTCGCCAGCTTTGGGGGCGAGCCAGTTCTGGAGGAGGGGTGTGATGGAGAAAGTGCGAATGGACGGGTTGAAGGCAGGTGCGAGGAAGTGCGGGATGGATGATGGTACTGCAAACGTCAATAGAATACACAAGGGAGTGATTGAAGGGAATGTACTTCGCGGTCTTGCTGCCGATATCGATATCTGGTTCAATTGAGTCACCAAACTCGCAGATATCCTGGGCAACACCATCCCGACTGTTCTGTGAAGAGCGTTGATGGAAGTTGGGTCAAACTGTCAGGTTTAAGGTGCAAGTGTGGCTAGTGCGGCGTCGACCCCATCGGGAAAGCGCGTCCCGTGCTAAAGTGATTTCGCGAATCGCGTTCTTCCTTCCAAGGCGCAGGCGTGATAGAACGCGTTGTGAGCGACTTCCCTTGTCCCCCGAGTCTGCCCCTCGCTGCCTGTCGACAACAACCACGACTTTTCATTGACGCATTACAGACGGGCTGTTATTTGGTACGAGAGAAAGGTTGTTGCGTCAGCATGCCGGCGGATATTCGGAGCTTTTTTGGTGGCGGGAGGGCTTCTCAGGGTAGCCAAAGTACGCCCGCAAAGAAAGAAGAGGTATGTCCACCTTTGAGGATTCTCAGTGTTTGGAAGCCTATTTCTTTGCCTTCGTACGCATTCTCTTCTCTCAGACGAACTTTCATGCTATCAATTCGACATGGCGAGAGGGCGAGCTAACAGATTTGTTCTTGTTACTTTACAGGCCAAGAAGCCCACAAGAAGACCTCAGAAATCGCGCGTTATCGAGGACTCGGAAGATGAGGAGATTGAGGAAGTAAAGTAAGGCTCATGGTACTCGCTCCAGCCGTATGAAGCTCACTGCAATCAGACCGAAGACCTCGCCGAAGAAACCCCCGCCGAAGAAGGCGAAACGCGAACCTTCCCTCGAAGGCGAAGAGACTACCACATTAGCCTTTTTCGGTAGCAAGAACAAACCCAAGCGATCCGAGCCTGTGAAGGTGAAGAAGGCTGTCGCAGCAACCCCGAAGGCTACACCAAAAGCAACTCCAGTGAAGGCAAATGGGAGAGCTTCAAAAACGGTTACGCCGGTGGCTAATGGCAAGACTTCTGGACGAGCAAAGAAACCTGTCTCTTACGTGGAGAACGATGATGATTTTCTAGATGATTTTCCAGATGATGACCTTGATGGAGCTGACGATATATTTGGTGCAGATTTTAAGGCAAACAGCAGGAATGTCAAGGACGACTATGTCCATATCGAAAGCGATGACGACGATGATATACCAATTACTTTGCCACATCGCGGGACTCCTAAGAAGCCAGCCAAACAGAAAAAGAAACTACCAGTCGATGATGACATTGACTCGGTGGAAGATGTAGACATGAAAGACGCCCATCCTGAAGATGACTTCGTTGTCCCGGATGGGGGAAAGCGGACTCCAAAGAGCAAGCCCAGCAAGAGAACACCCGCAGCCCGGAAACGCAAGTCGCCCGAGCTTGACGAGGACGAGGATGAAGAGGAGGATAGCGTACCAAAGAGAGGCCGTCCAAAGAAATCCGATACTAAGAAGTCACCAGTCAAGAAGAAGGCTAAGAGAGAAGATGCGTCAGAAGACGCTATTGTCCAAGCAATCTACGATAGCATCCCTCTCGTACGCCCACCAACACCTCCACCGAAGACAGAAGGAGGCAAGTTCGATTGGAGAGCCAATGCTGGGCGTGGGGACGCAGGACTCACTGAGGGGTCGTCCGGGGACATGCCTTCTGGTAGCGAAACCTGTCTTGCCGGTCTGAACTTTGTCTTTACTGGTGTATTGCACCGGTGGGGTCGAACGGAAGCTCAGGAATTGGTCAAACGTCATGGCGGCAAAGTCACCGGTGCACCAAGCAGCAAGACGGACTTTGTGATCCTAGGGACAGATGCTGGCCCTAGCAAGCTCGAGAAGATTCGAAAGATGAACATCAAGACCATTGACGAAGATGGGTTGTCCCAGCTCATCGAGAAGCTTTCTGCCCGTGGTCATGTCGGAGACTCCAAAGCGCAAGCAGCATATAAGGAGAAGCAGCGAAAAGAAGAAGAGAAGATCAAAGAGCAGGCTGCGGAAATGGATAAAGAGGATAAGCGTCGTGAAGAGGAGAAACGTAGTTTGGCTGGGGCAGGGACCGCCAGAGGTAGCAAAACTACCTCTGCTACGACTTCTGCTATCCACAAAGATGCAGTTCCTTCTGTTGATTCACGTTTATGGACGACCAAATATGCTCCAACGGCGCTCAGCCAGATCTGCGGAAACAAAGCTACGGTCGAGAAATTGCAGCGATGGTTGGCCCGATTTCCGAAGAGCCACAAGACCGGCTTCAAGCTTGCTGGTCCTGACGGTAGTGGTGTGTTCCGAGCGGTTATGCTTCATGGACCTCCAGGGATTGGGAAGACTACCGCAGCGCATCTCGTTGCTAAGCTGGAAGGCTACGATATCGTCGAGAGTAATGCTAGTGATACTCGCAGCAAAAAGCTTGTGGAGGAAGGGTTGAGAGGTGTCCTCAGCACTACATCCTTGCATGGCTACTTTGCTGGCAACGGAAAGAAGGTTGAAACATCGAAAAAGAAGCTGGTACTCATCATGGACGAAGTCGATGGCATGTCTGCAGGCGACCGAGGTGGTGTTGGAGCACTTGCTGCGGTCTGCAAGAAGTCAGAGATTCCGATGATCCTTATCTGCAACGACAGGCGACTGCCAAAGATGAAGCCATTTGACTATGTTACATTCGATCTACCATTCCGACGACCGACTGTAGATCAAATTCGCTCCCGCATTATGACTATTGCCTATAGAGAAGGATTGAAGATGCCAGCTCCTGTCATCAATGCTTTGATTGAAGGTAGTCATGCAGATATCCGTCAAGTGGTCAATATGGTCTCGACTGCCAAGCTTGACCAAAAAGCCATGGATTTCGACCAGGGCAAGGAGATGTCTAAAGCATGGCAAAAGCACGTCATTCTCAAGCCTTGGGACATCACTCAAAAGATTCTCGGTGGTGGGATGTTTGCTGCGAGCAGCAAGGCTACCCTGAACGACAAAATTGAACTCTATTTCAACGACCACGAATTCAGCCCCCTCATGCTTCAAGAGAATTATCTCGGTACCAGCCCGATGCGTGCCCTGAGTTACCACGGCAAGGAGAAGAACCTGAAGTTACTGGAGCTCGTCTCTGATGCTGCCGATAGTATTAGTGATGGCGATATGGTTGATCGAATGATCCATGGCTCTCAACAACATTGGAGTTTAATGCCAACACATGCGGTCTTCAGTTTTGTCCGACCAGCAAGTTTCGTCGCAGGCAGCACAGCTGGGCATCAGACACGATTCACATCCTGGCTTGGCAAGAACAGCAACCAGCAAAAACTAACTCGTATGGTCAAGGAAATCCAAGCCCACATGCGTCTGCGCTCTTCAGGCGACCGGCACGAGGTTCGACAACAATATGTTCCTGTCCTTTGGACGCAGTTGATCAAGAAGCTACAGTGGGAGGGCAGGGAGTCGGTACCCCAAATCATCGATCTTATGGATAGCTACTTCTTGACCAAGGATGACTTTGATGCGATTATGGAGCTGGGTGTTGGGCCTATGGAACAAGAAAAGGTGAAAATCGAGTCACAGGCCAAATCCACTTTTACTAGACTGTAAGCTCTCATTTTCTCGCTAAACTTATCCATATTGATGTTCTTGAATAGCTACAATCAACAGTCTCATCCTCTTCCCTTTATGAAAGCGAGCAATATCGTCGCGCCCAAAAAAGCCACGAAAGAGAAACCCGACCTCGAAGAAGCCCTCGACGAATCGGATGAAGGGGAACTTGCTGAAGAGGCAAAGGATGATGAAGAGACCGATCTCTCCAAGGACAAATACGTCAAGCAGCCGAAGAAAAAGGCTGCAGGCAAGAAAGCACAGGCACAGAAACCTTCCAGAGGAAAGAAGCGAGCTGCTACTGATGAAGACGTTGATGAGGATGAAAGTGAAGAGGTAAAACCCAAGGGGCGTGGCAGAGGAAAGGCTGCTGCAAAGGGTCGCAAGAAGGCTTGAGGTGGAGTAGGCAAGATTGCGAGACGCGTTTATATGGCATGTTTGGAAGAAACAAAAAGCATGGCGGACTTCTACGCATTTTTCGTTCAGAGGAGTTTATATGAAGGTCTATGAGCAATTGGGGGCAATTAATCATAGTGGTGTGGCTGGATACCAAATATTGAATCTAGATGTGTCAGTATTTGGAAAGGTACGGCGTCATTGGTAGTTGGCGGTGTGTGGTGTCGCAGTGGCTTCATTTCACTTCTCCGGTGAAAGAGCTGTCACTGAGTGTAAGATTTTGCTAGCACGCGCCGCCAAAAGAGTACTCCTCCACCACGTTAACGCGCAACGCGTCCACTTTCTCCATTCCATTTCCATCACCATCAATTTCTCTCGTTCGCCTGACGGAGAAACTCGCCATCCTTGTCGTCCCCGCCCTCGAGTAGAGCAATTGACCGTCTTTCCACCACCTCTCATCAATCTAGCTTCTTCGTGGTGAACGACGAACGTCGCCACTCTTTCCACCGTCCTCGCTAGCCTCGTCAACACTCTACCTTCAATTTCTGCTGTTTGTCGATCTACCTTCATCTACTCACTTGCCGACCCACGTCGCCTGGCAACGCCTCGTCATATCAGTATACACTTCACGTCAGCTGCAAGAGGGATCCAGTCTCGCGATGCCACTTTTTGAGAAAGGTGAGTATGATGGAGATTTCCACCCTACTAGGTTGCCTGCCCATACCTTTGCCTCCCTCTCTGGCTGCCCTGCCAATGGCTGCCATGCCAGTGTTTCTCCTGGAAGTATAGGGCAACGAAACACGGTTGAACGACCGACATCTTTCGAGTACAAAGGGTATGCATGCCGACCACGAGCGCCAGCTTCAGTGAAGGTCGTGCCCGTGGTGTTTCCGAATGGACGGGCTCGTGGTGAAGGATGCGTGTCTTCTGCGTCGAATTCGTCGCCTACGACATCCTCGTCGGTTTCGAGAACGGTAATTCAACACTTAACAGAGGAATCCCACGACGGTCATGGCCTTGAGCATGGGTACAAGCATGGTTACGGACTCGACCTCGACTGGAATCCGGTACTGTTGTCTCCACCTTCTCTTGCCATCGATACCGCGACCTTGCGCCCGCGCCCTGTTCCCACTCAGCCGTTGACGAAAGCCAATGTTGCGGCTGTAGCTGCTCAAGGTTTGTACGATCTCTTCCTGATCTCTATGTTTTTAATCACATCGCTAATAGGAATCTCACGGATAGGTCTTAGCTCCTGGAACCGTGACCGTGGGTACGATGGCAGAAGACGCATGCGTCCCTTGCTGGCTTGCTCAGAAGATGAGCTTTCATGCGTCTCGAGTTCTAATGAGTGTGGTGAGGACCATCATCCCGTTTCCCTTCACTTGTTTATACCAGTATACCCCAGCATTAACACAACCCTCCTCACCTGCAGAAGTCGGTTCTTCATCTTATCACGGCCGCGCTCTTCGCCGAAGCCCGAATGTGGACAATCTGCGTCTAGGCGATGCTGCCAACACACTTTCAATTTCGACGTTGAGCTTGAACGAGAGCATCAACCATGGAGCTCGCGTCAACTATGGAGTCGGCAGCCTTCATCCACTAGGTGCGTTCGACGAGTCTAGTGGCGGTGAACCAAATCTTCATAATGGCGTTCCGGTTCCAGTCCTCAGTCCACCAGCCGTCACTGTCAGCACTCCAGAAGGTTCCATCACAGTCCTTTTCGACGCCGATCGCGAGCGCATTACCCGCTGGCGTGACGCAGCAACTACGCATGACCGTGGGCTTACTATGTCTCCACTGTCAGTTCGTCGTTTCACAGACGAGGAAATGGACCATTACTGCCTTAGTTCCCGGAGTAGTGTTCGGACTGCGATCCGAGATGCTCCAACTGGCCTCTCACCTGTTATCCGTGGTGATTGGGATGGGCGTGGCGATGATGATGTCGCTCGAGCTTCAGATGGGGGATTCGCAGCCTTGCGGACTCAACCCATTGCCGACCCCGATTGGGGTGGTCCCGGGTTTGCGGGTCTGTTCGAATGGCAGCGCGTGCATACACAGGCGACACATGGAATTCTATTGCCAGAAGCAAGTTTCTCGGGAGTTGGGTTTGCCGAGAGCGATCGCGTGAGGAGGGTCGAGGCTCCAGTATGTTTGCTGGATCCCCATGGTATCTTTAGGGTTCTGGCTTTACTAACTCCATGTTTCTTCACAGCACGACTCCGGATCCCTACAACTAGCGAATGTCCAGCGTCCAACCCCGCGGACGTCTTCTCCAGGACCCGCCCGAAACTCGTCTGTAGCAAGTCTAACCTCCAGCAGGAACGCAGCACACCCGCCAGTCGTCCACACGGTGGGGCCCCCAACCTCCCTAGGCCGCCCCTCGCACCCTAGCCTCCACCCCATTCTCGAAGCAGCTGCTAAGGACGATCCCCAAACCTACACCAAAGAGGGCCTTTGTGCCGTGCTGGCCAAACTCTACACCCCTGCCGAGATCCCTGCAGAGGTCCTTGAACAGCTACCAAACGCGAAAGGGCTGTCCGCTCTAAGCATTGCCCGGTCCTCTTCCCAGGCCAGAACCGCGGATGCGCGCACCTTCATTCCACTTCGGGGGAAGGACGTCAATTACCTAACGCACTACATCGACAAGTTGGTTGCGGACAAGGAGCGCAAGATAAGGGAGATTACCAATCTCGAGGCGCAGATTGAAGATGTAGAGGTATCAAAGGCTGGTATGCAGGGTGATATTAATCAGTACTTTGCTGCCGTTCAGGCTGGTGAGACTAAGATAGATGGATTGTTGGAGGTGATTAGGGTGTTGATGAATGGAGATGGGGGTGTTGAGGAGAAGCTCCAGGCTGTGGATATGGCGAAAGAGTTGGGGTTTAATTTGAGGGCCTTGGGGATGCGAGTTGAGGACAGGAATAAGAGGCGCCAAGCACTTGTCAAGTTCTGGGAGAATAAGGCCCATGCTGCTGAGGAGTATGCTAAGGCCATGGAGGAGGCAGATTAAGTGCAATATAATCTCTCTTGACCGAGTTTCTGGATAGTCTGAATGGGAGGTCTGGGCTAGAGTAGCTGTTTGTTATGAGGAATAATAGGTAGGACTATGTAGTGTCTGAGATCACTCACACAAATAGCCGATCCTAAAAACATTCTTTCCTGCTCATGGAGAACTTGAAAAGTGAGGAGATGGCACGTTATTATAGATTGTGGAACATCAATAGAACCGAGTTGATGAGTAATTTCCCTTGCCAGAATTAGATAGAGAAAAAGCTATGTAGGCTTTGGCTCTAAATTACCTTTGAGGTGTTCTAATTTAGGTAGTTAACAGGATGCAGTAGTTACTGCAGCTTTGGCTTTCTTTATTAGGCTGCTCTATTTCTATTGGCAACATTCTTTAGAGTATGTTTGCGGCGCCCAGAGTCCGTTAGCCCAACAGCCTTAAACAATAATATCCCTTGGTAAAATTAGAGAGGGTGTAATGGGGGCACACACTACTGCCTTGGATTAAATGCATGTTTTTCTCCATTGTATGATGCCAATATAGAAGGGCCAACATGCTCTTGGGGTGCCTTGCAGAGCATGGAATCTTACAGCATAGTATGGAATCTTACAGCATAATATGGAATCTTACAACATAGTATGGAATCTTACAGCATAGTATGGAATCTGACAGCATAGTATCATATAACATTCAATATGATTAGAGGAGGACGTAACTACTAGATCGCTTGCTAGGTTGAGGCAGACTGCTAACGGGATGCGAATTTCTGTCCTGAATATGCCTCTCCCTCAGAGCGATGGCGGCAACAGTGAGGCGCACGGTCGAAGTAACGTTAGGGCTTCGCTGCAAAGATATATAAAACCGCATCCGGAACTCACCGGAAGTGGACGCTGCACTTGGCTTTAGATTAACCTTAAGACTGCCTCATAGGGCGAACTAGGTCAGCCCCAGTCTGCCTTACCTAGGATCGGGTTACGAAACAAAATGTGGAGAAGACGGGAAAAAAATATTGCAGTTTGAAAGCTAGAGCCAGTGTTGGTTCGAAATGAGGCTCTGTGCTGGAGCTGTAGGGCTGGGATGTGGTGAGCTGGCCTCAGTGGTGGCTGTGAACTGCGAAATTTGGGAGTTCCCACCGCTCTTTCGGAATGTACCGGCAGTGTTGCAAACACAGCGAGGAGAAAAGTAGAAGTAAATAAGATGAAGTGTGTACCTGTTAATGTAATGCGCGCGGGAGAGAAGGAGATGATGGGGTGTCGGCAATTGTTTGCCTGCACTGTCTATGTCGAGAAGGAGTCGCAGGGGTGGCTGCACGAGAGTTTACAGCTGCTGAACGGGCCTCCTAGCTGGAAGAAGAATGGAAAGGTAAGTTAGTACTGGGCCGGTTTCACGGCAACGTGCATTCTTGTGCTGCAGCAAGGCCTCGGGAAAGGCGGTTGGTAATTAATTAGACTGAAAGTAAATTGTTCGAGTGTGGGAAGATCAGACATGAATAGAAATTGACTAAGCAGGCAATGAAGCACTTGCAATTTCTAGAAAAGCAGAGAAATCTCAGATGGTTTGGTGTTGTGGTAACGGTAAGAGAGCCGGAACTTAGAGTGGACAAAGCAGGGCCAAAGTCAATGGTGGGCGAACTGGCGGTCGAGCACCAGGAACAGCCCTAATGGCTGGCGGACGTGGCGGCGTCGATGCGAGGTCGCACGGACTGCTTGGCTGAATAGGGCGTGGTGCTGCTGCAGGAAAGTGGCACTCGCAGTGAGGGAAGCATGAGGATGCGTCACAAATGGCGGGCTTCCTTTGACAAGACCCTCCGCCAATTCTTATCTACGCAGAATGTGATCTTCTGCATTGTACCCTTCCTTGACATCGCATACGCTTCCTCTCTTCCCCCTCCCTCACCTGGTCCTTCATTTCTTCTTGTATGCGCACGTCGACGGTCGCGCTCTGCTCGCCTGACCTCCACCATCGCGGTGCATGGCTTACTCGTACGACAGCCGCCCTCACGACCGCCGGCGCAATGATTCCTACTATTCGAGGTCTCGAGACTCGGGCGGATACTCGAGGCATGCTGGTCACACTCCAACCGCTCTAGACGTCAAACTAACATCCATGGACTACAGTTTGAACAACCAGAGCGGGTACTCCTACTCATCCCCCGAGCCCCGCTACGCCGCAAATCCGCCCCTACCCAAACGATCCTCCGCACGCCCTTACTACAGCGAGTCCCGCAACAAGCGCACATGGCCTCCATCGCCCAGCGTCGAAGACGAAGCAATCTCTCTGGCACGAGAGTATCCGGTGGGGTCTGCGCACAGCGAACGGAGCGGTGAAGCGAAATCGCGGGGCAGTGTCGATCAGTACCCCATCATCGAGGAGATCGAGCAGCCAAGAGTGGTGCACGACGACAGCGGCGAACGACGGTTCGTCTTGGTCTCTGATCCTGGTGTAGCTCCTGCACCGTCCGCGGCCGCAAAGGAGCGGCGCAAGAGCTTCGCTGAGCGCGGCAACATTCCCCATCTGAAAACTGATGTCAGTGAACCGCCTGTCTTCACCCAGCGCACTCCAACGCCGTATGCCTACACCAAGCCCACAAAGGAATCTGCTGCCCCGCCGGCTAGCGAGTGCTTTCTGTCTCCCGAGCCCATCACTCCCACGCCCGCCAGCATTCCAAGTTCCATTCCCAAGCGCAACCCGTGGGATACGCCCCGCGACCAGAATGCGAGACCAACTAAGGCACCTGCTGTTCACAGCCGTAACGACTCCGTGCAGCAGTCGCCCCGAACAGGCAGGCTCGATGTGTTTGACGACTCGGACATGGAGCCCGAGGACACGTCCCGGCTGCGAACCGAAAGAACGCCTGCCCAATACAGTTTTGTCAAGAGCGATCTGCAGCGAGAAGACTTGAGATCATCGCTTCATGACTGCAAGAAAGAAAGAAAAGACCCTAGGGCTCCCCCACCACAGAGTCCCCGATCGGCCTACGATAATACCTTGAGTAGTCCCGGGTCGTCCAAGAACTCGACCCCTCCTCCACAGTCCCCACAATCCTCCAGTTCATCCCTAAGCAATGGCACGCGGCAGAGGCCCCTCAGTAGACCCAGTCCGGTGGACACAGGCTACTCCAAATCCTCTAGGACCTACCCAGATTCTCGACCTGCTTCGCCGCTTCGCCGCCCAAGCTCCCCCCTCCACCGTGAAGTCCCAATGCCGCCATCTCCAACGTACTCCCCAAAGCTTCCTCCGCGCCGCGCGAATGAATCTCCACCCTCTACTCGACCAACATCTAGAGGTGGCCCTCAAAGGCCTGCATCTCCCTTGTCTTTTTCAACAACTCTGCAGCCGCCATCTGAACCTCGAGTTCCTGTTACCGACGCCGATTGGCATGCTACATATCCTCCAGCTACGCGGGATAGATCAAGGCCCCCCTCCCGCTATGGTAGACATGAAAGCATGCCCCTCCCCGTTCCTCCCCGCATTGATGTTCAATCTCCTTCCCCTGGAAGACCTCCTAGGCTGAGCGCTCTTCCATATCCTGTGGATGACAGAGAGACTGACGTGTATATGCCACCCGAAGAAGCGTATCAATATCAGCATACTACACCTGCTCCTCCGCTGGGCCCTCCGAGTCCTAGTCTAAGACAACCCTATCCCGACTCCCCAAAGCTTTCTTCGCCAGTTGTTAGCTCGCCACGTGAAGCCTCGTCCGCCTTCCGACCGTCTTTAGGAAGTCGACATACCGCGGCTGAAGAAGTTCCACGGTTGGCGAGAGTCAGGTCTAATTCAATCAGGTCGCAGTCTAGCAACGAAGGGCATCGAAAGGAACGAACTAACACCCTTAGCCTTGACAAACCACTACCATCTTGCCCAAGGAGTGAACCCTCTACTATGCACGACGATTGGTACACGCTTGACAATTGTCCGAACTTCGACATCTGCCCGAGCTGTTTTGAACGTGTATTCATAGACACGCCATTTGCAGTATTCTTCAAACAAGCTCGGCGCTATGAAAACCCTGTTGAGCGGTTTTGTGACTTTAGCTCTCCTTGGATGCGACTGGCTTGGCTTCTGACAATCAAGCAACAACGAAAGAGTCCGGACCTGCTGTATGCGCTCGCTACTATAACCGAGTTCGGTGAGCCGTGTCCAAAGGACAAGGAAGTCCCAGGACCATGGTATGGTATCGTGGATCAACGCGACGGTTCCCCCGTCCCAAACTTCACCATGTGTCCATGCGACTTCAAGCAAGTCGAGGCTCTGTTCCCAAGCCTTAGAGGCTACTTTATAAGGATCCCGTCTTCAGACTCGCTTCGAAACACGAAAGCACCAACCTGCTCACTTCGAATCACCTCTCGCCGATTTCCCAAATACCTCGACCTCCTCGTTGAACTTGATGCCGAAGCCCAACTCCGCGGCCGTAGCCCTAACATTGAACGCTTCATTCTGATGGCGAGAGAAAACGCGTATAAGGGTGAATGCTTAAAAGATAAACCCACTCTACGCAAACCGTGGCACTTCATCCCTTCGCTCCCCGAATTCACCGTTTGCGAAGAGTGTTACGACGACGTCATCTGGCCGGCGATCAAGGAAAAATCTCGGCTCGCAGAATCGTTCAATAGGACGATTCAACTTGTCCCTGGTGAGGATATCGAGGGTACGAGTTGCTGTCTGTATAGCACCAGGATGCGACGTGTCTGGGCTCGAGCGCTCGAGAGCGACGACTTCGGATATTTGAAACGAAAGGCGATAGAGCGAAAGCGGATTGAAAGTCGGATAGCAAGGGAGAAAAAGGATCTTTTGAGGTATCTAGAAATGAGGACAATGTATGGAGGAAGCGAGCGGGACAGATTAAGGAGGGAGTTGAGAGAGGTAGAAGCTGAGTGGAGGGATTGCGAGTGATATGACTAGGTCTGCGGAATGTGGAACGTCGAAAAGTTGTTTGAAGGATTGATTAGATAGAGGTGTTTGGGATGATGAGTAACAGTGGGCTAATTGACTGAATGCCCTCTATGATAAATGTGTGAAAATGAATAATATTATTAATTAAACTTTACGAATCTATAACACCTTTAGTAGTCTTTAATATCTTAGTAGGTGAAGTACTTCTTTATCACGTATTCTATAAGCGAGCAGTCTGTAAGGCCGAGATGGTCCTTACGCTCGACGGGTATATATACTATTCTGTACGCAGAATCAACTCCTGGTTGATTATTCGCACCTTTTTGGTTGTATTGGCGCAGTGGTACAGAGCTCCGTCCTTACAAAAGGTTAATTAGTAGATACATTATTAATTAAAGTACAAGGTGCGGAAATTTTGTTAGAGTGGACTATTTGCTTATAGACCACTCGCTTGTGAAATACGTTATATATGTACTAGATCGCGTGACGGGACGTCCTATGCCCTAGGCCGGGCCCAGGGCTCCCCGGGGGGGAGTCTGAGGCATGCCTTAGTTAACCATGACACCTCAGGCTTAGCATCTATAAATACTATATAAATTATATATCTCCTTAGACTCTTAGTCTACAATACATGACTCCTCTTATAACTCGTGCCCTGGCAAGGCTACATATCCACACCTTTTGTCTTCGTCAACTAGATAATCTTTCTTATACCGTTAGGACGAGTGTATTCGACACTCCATTTATGATCGACCATATCCCTCCAGATATACGCGATCATAAAGGTGCAAATCGAAACCGCCACAGAAGTTGCAAATCATGTACCGGACATACACCTCCTACCTTTCTTTTTCGAGCTACCTACAAACTAGCATAACTTAATGTAATCGCCTAAGATGGTAAAAATTTCCTCGTCAAATATTAGATTTAGACTGAAGAACACCTTATTCACTCTCTTCTATTAGTCAATGTAAGCTGGAGGGCTCTACAATGGGCTTCTCAATCAACATCGGGCTTGGCGTCTCATCATACTATATAAATGACATAGCTTCTCAGACCGTCAGTCTACAATACGTTACTTCTTTCATAACTCATGCACCCTGCAAGGCTGCAGCCTCGGTGAGATTATACATCGTGAGGCCGAACTATTTGTGAGATTTAGAAAGGAGCAGTTCGTAGCCCTTGATACTTTCCCTGAGAAGAATCAAAGGCGTTTCAAACATCTGGACCTCTATCAACCTTCCTAAACAGGCAGGCTGCGAGTGACCATGGATCACTGTATTAGAATGACCGAGTGGTGGGCGTAGGGCTCGGGGCCCGTGCGTACTCAGAAGAACACTACGATGAAACTGGTGTGTGTGCAAACGTGCTATACGGCCACGGGAAATGTTATTCTCCGAGAGCCACAGCAATACCAAAAGCCTGCTCATTTCATGCCATGATCTGATAAGAGGTTAGGTCACGTCATTCATAGCGTTTATCACAGCAGCGAGGACCACCGTCACGCTCTATCAATTCGAACAAAACTGATCGTTTTCAAATATTGAATTACCATTCCTATGATCCCACTTCCTTCATTCATCTAATCCTCTCCTCCATCCCTTCCAATCCCGACCTCATCCCCTGCAGACACCCCCACCCCTCCCAAGAAATTAACTAAAACAACAATCGCAACCCGGATACCATATTCACCCCATACCAATCAAACTCCCAAAAAATAGTGGCGTCTTAAGGCACGCCTAAAAGCCCTCGTTCACCAAACCCCAACAAACAAAGAAGGAAGAAGAGAGGAAGGAGGAAAAGAGGATATGCCAGAGATTCTATAAGTAGTATGTTTGAACCCACCCCATCCCCATTCTCGTCGCACACTTGTCCCATGGCGCATTTGCTATTGCAAGACAAGCAACAAGCGCACAATCCTCAAGTGATCTTATCTCATTTGTCCATAGAACAGAAGAGGAGAAAACCTTCGACGCACCTTAACCAAGCACCACTCCATCCCACAGCCTCACAGCCCGAGAAAAGGTTGGAAAAGTGTATTACTTAAAAGGGGGTCTGAACCTGCCAAACAACGAAACCAAAAAACAAAACCCCGAGGATTTTATACAGCGATGCATATAAAGCATGATATACACGGTCTGCCGTAAATAGAAAGCGGTATAGCAGGGCGGGCCTCCAAGAAACAACCAGATAAGATCGGCCCTGAAGCCAGAGGCAAAGGCCACAGGAGATAACCGATTGGGTAAAGAACGACTCCGAAGAAGAAAGTGGGTGGGGCGTGGCTGGCCGGTTCCAAGGCTACAGAACAAAAAAGACCCCCAGAAGACATAGATTAAACAAGTGACTCGCAGATAAAGCGCCGATGGACTCCGCTCTTGTATGCAATGTATATGGGGCAATGCTGAGAAAACGCGTTCGTGAACGCGGTATGACTCCAAGAAAAAAGTCTATAATTAGGGGGCACTATTGTGCTTTTGTGGTATTCCATTTGCTATCGTCGTTGACCGTGGCCACATTAGGTAGACATAGGAAACGCGGAATGGGTGGATGGGGTAAGGTAGTTGGAATTCAAGCGTAGAGTTGGGACATGGGCGGTGCTACGATTTGCAGTCGTCCATGAAGGAATTCTTCGGCCAACTATATTTGCTGTGAGCCCTGAAGAGGTATTAGCATATGAGGACTTGAAAGAATGTAAAGCTGCATACCATGACGTCATGTTAGGGTTGTTGTAGGGTTCCGGATGTTTCCTAATGTAATCCGTCGTGGGATACCCAGGAGGATCGCAGGTTACCATCTCGTTGCCTTCGTCCTGATAGATGCGGATGTAGTCAATGCGCATTGTTGCAGGCAATGTTGAGGCAATACCAGTAAGATTGATGGCGGCGAAACTGTTCGACATGCCAAAGTTGGCAATCAATGACAAGGGTTCTTCAGGGATCACTCGTTTGCCAACGTTTCCGTTATCAGCAACGGTGCGGGCATCCATGGTCCAGGTCTCTGCGTCTCCCACATGCCAGGTGATCCAGCCATTATCTCCAGTTTTGTACTCGAACGCATACTTTTGGTATGCTTTGCCATCGTACCAATCGTTGTTTAAGTTGGTTAGTCCAGAAATAGCCTGCTGGAATGGTCCACCCTGGTAAGAGTTCATGCCAGTGATGGAGTGATCGTAGATCTCGATGAAGTCTGAAAATAGCGTCAGAAAGGTAAATTACATAATGCTACGGCTGTTTCTTACCATAATTTGGTTGGTACCAGAGATCAAACGGAGCTGATTGGAAACTCTGAGAGACCTGCCCAATACCGTTCTGATTCCCTGGGCCCAGAAACGTAACAGATCCTTCGAGGGCATCGATTTCGGGAGCGCTTCGAGATTTTCCTGGGCTTGGGTGATCTTCGTTTTTACAAGTGCAGGCGGGGAGTCTCATCCCCGGTAGGTAGCTAAGGCCGTCTAGCGAGCTTTGATTCGGAGTAATGCCAATGTCGCATTCGTTATGGTAGCTGTAAGGCCATAGGCCTTCGCTCGTTGCGGTATATCCTGGTCGGCCAAGGTTCCCCATAGACCAAAAACCAGGCCAGAAACCGATCGTGTCGCCGCGCCCAGGCAAGGAAATACTGGCCTCTAGATGTCCGCCTTTGTAACACAATTTGTTCCATGACTGAAGCATGCCAGACCGGTAATTGAGACCGTGATTCTTGAATGCATCGAAACGGATGTTAAGAGTACCATCTTTGGTAGTTACCGCATCGGGATCGTACCACTGTCGTGACATCAGCCAGTGTTATACAGTGCAAGTTCTCTGGAACACACCTCTAAGTCCTGGGTCGCACCATACCAAATGTCAACCGCCTGGAAGTAAGGGTCATCACCGTCGTAGAATGTTCGGCCGTCTTTGTTGAATTCGTCGGAGAACTGATTAGGTTAGTGGTATGACTACGTACCAGAATAACTTTACCTACCACTAGGTTCTGAGTGGTTCCATCGTGCGACTTCCTTGTCAACGCGTTCCTAGGCGTATCAGGATCGATGAGACCTTTGCGAACGTTCTGCAGAAGCGGCTCGTTCTCCTTTCCTTCTATGCAGAGTGGATTGGCTGTGCAAGGTGTGACGTTGGGCGTCGTGAGTTTGTGGACGAAAGTGCTGCGACAAGGTCAGAAAGAAATCCAGCGGACTTTTCAAAATAGCTCCCCGGACGTACAGTATAGGATAACCAATAAACAACACCAGGATGCCTATCGTGAGGAGCGCCAGACCTCCCACGTTCACTATACCTCGCTTCGTGAAGATATCGCAGTCCCTCTTCTCTTTCTCGTTCGGATCTGGATTGTGTAGCCAGTCGTCCTTCTCCACATCTTCGGGAAACAGTAACAAACCAGCGCCAGGAAGGATATTAAATTTCTCAGACACAGTCTGCGTGTTTAAATCTTCCTCGCTCCCTGCTCGCGAAGGCGCTCTCGAATCGTCGAATGGAGATGCGAACGGGCCAAACCGCGAATCACGACTCCCTGCCGACTCCGAACTCCAACTCGTCCGCCGCGAGGACATTGCAGACGGGGATCGAAGTGGCGATTCATCTCTGAAGTGCCGTGTCTTCGTCTTCTTTGGCGGCAATAGGAGTTCTGCCGATTCGGCGACTTGAGGGGGCTGCCGGTAAAGCGAATTCTGAGATGGTTGTGACCGTACACCGGGAGCAGTGCCTGGGCGTAGCTGGCTTGTTAACGAGCGGGACGAGGGTTGCCGCGATGTGCTGGGTCGCTCGTGCTGGACCTCGAAGACGTTTTGGGATCCTGAATTAAGACGGATATGGGGAGGAGCATTCCCTCGCGGAGACTCGGGCGACGACATGGTGAGCGAATGTATAGGGTGAGTGTGCTAGGAGGCGAGACGTTACGATGAAGCCAGGGCGAAGGTAGGGAGTGTTGATGCCGGGCGTGGCATGCAATGGGGGGGGGGGGGGGAGGAGAGTTCTAGTGAATGTTGAGCGACTCGTGGCTTGATGACGGGGCAACGGGGAGTGGCAGGACCAGAATTCCTCTCCTGTGGCAGGCCCTGGATGCAGTGGGCGAAAAGCTGCTCAGTAGTGCTGCTGGTAGACAAGAGCAGGAGAGCGGCTGTCGCGAGGAGAGAAACCGGTCTGGCAATTAGCAAAGGGGAGGAGGGTTGCTCCTGTCTGTAGCGGGCAAACAAGGGTCAGCCAGGAACGAGCTCCACAGAAACTTGGCACTCTCAACGTGCACGCGGCGGCAGAGGCAGGCGAAGATACCGAGAAGCAGCCCACGCGAACAGCAAGAGGACAATTGTAGAAAGAGGACTGTAATGGGACAGCTGCGACTGCGAATGTAGAGGCTGATGGCAAGGAAGAGGGCTTCTGGCGGGCGACGGTGCGACTCCAAGGCGAGCACCGAGAATGCAACGACGAGCACGAAAAGGCTGTCGGGCGCTGGCCCAAAAAGCCTTTAGGGAGATCGCGACGCTCAACGGGAAGCCCGCGAATCAGAGGGCCCGCGGCGTCTGCGGTGCGGCGACTTACCAGCGGCTGACGCAGGTCGAAAAGCAGTGTGGCTTGCTAAATTTATCCGTGGCCACAGGCCGATGTCATCATTGCACCCGTACAGTGGCAGGTTTCAAGTCCTTTCTTCCACATGTTTTCCGTCCTCGGGCGTCTGTCAAACAGCTGCTCACATATGCTTGGCTCTAGCTATACTATGCTGTCATGGCACTGATGATTGCTCCGGCCCAGCGCGAACCCAGGCCGGTTCCCCTGACCTGCTCGAGACCCCCCAATTTCGCCTCGAGATATTCTCTGCGCCGCCTCATGCTCATGTGCAACCGATGCCCTTCTCCCTTGCTCTTGTGCAAACCAAACAACAACTCAATTCACCGTCTGACAGCTCTTACGCGTCGCCGCACTTATACATAATCTCTCTACCGCACCGCATCTCCATGTACTGCTGCAGAGGCTCCCCTCATGTCCGCGCCTGGTCTTCGCAGCGGGCCAAACAATCTAACCAGTCGCAGCCTCACCTTATCAGACGCTCTCCTAAAAGTCTTATCTTGTTACGCGTCCTGCACCACATAAAATAAGAGCCCCAAGCACTGCACTGCCTCGCCCGTCACCGAGTCTTCTGCTGCTTGCCTCTCTCCCTGCTCACGCACGATCTGATATTCGTATTCACGATCTCGGCGGCCTTGTTTGCTCGGACATTATGGAAGATCCCTTTAGCTCTCACGATAAGCGCTCTGCGCCCTCCTTATCCTTCCCACCTTCCCATCCTTCCAAAATTCTCCCACAGCCCATGTTTCCTCTAATCCATTATTCCACGACCATCCTCGCCCGAGATGAGACGTCACAAGCACTTTCCCGGTCAGGCGTAGATTAATTGCGCTCTCCTCAGGATTGCAAATCACTAATACAAACCAAAACCGGCTGATGCCTTAGAGAGTCTTTCAACGGCCAGGAAGCTTCCAAGCTTCTAAACGAACCGATCGGACCCTGAGCTGCTCTCGGTGATTTGCTGGCGATGCCGAGATTGCTCACGCGAAGGCCCAATCAACATGCGCCACAACGGTGGCACAGCGGTACCGGCTGACAGAGGTGATATCAAGCTCCTCGCTTTCTCCGATGTATCTCTGATAGCTGAGTATCAGCCTTGTCCTCGCCATGTGGATCAACCCGCTGGAGGTTCTTGTGAAACTCAGTAGTGTGACGTGCCTAACAGTTCCCAGGCCTGACCTGGTCAGGATTTCGCCGAAGCTCTCGGTAACTGAGACTGTCAATGTCGTCGGGATAATATGTCGTCTATTGTATAGGCTCGCGAGGAATCTCATTTCCCTCGGAGATATCCTGTATCTTGCTCAATGATCTGATCATCTCACTGTTCATGGTTCTGGTAGCTGAAATGCCTTTAAAAAACTGCCCGAAGTATGCAAAGTGTATCCTGAAATTCCACCGAAAATGCCACCAAACACCTTTATCAAGACACATATCTCATCCAAAGCCCCCCAAGGAATCCTCGAGGTTTCGGACTACGACTCCACAGCCAATGCCTTCAACCCAACCAACCTCCCCTCTGGCTCATCCACGCTGACCACATAATACTCTGCCCTTGTCCCTCCATGCTCCACCCTAAACACGCTCACATCCCCACTTCCTGCCGCCTTAACCGCCTCCATAACGTTCTTGTACTGATCCTTCGGATCAAACTCCTTCACCCCCACACTCGCCACATCCGCATCGTGTCCAATAAGTTTCTTCAGGTCATCTACGTAGTCAACTCATCAGCCCGATACCTCAAAACCCTCTCCTTAGAATCCCGTCCAACTCCGACTATAGCTTCAACTTCCGTCCAGACACAATGTAGGCGGGGGTAGAAAAGGACAAACTTACCCGCAGAAACACGCTGCCCCTCAAATCTCAAACTCACAGGCTCAAATGGCTCATCCGCATCTGAGATATAACACTCCTCCACACCCTCCAACACTTTCGGCACCACCGTGTTCACACTCTTTGTGGAATATTGCTTGCTTGATTTCTGTGCAGTGGACGCTGCGCCTGTGTCTTGGTTCGCTTTGTCCAGGAAGGACGCGTAGTCTGCGTCGGAGGACATGTTGGACGCGGTGGTGGTGGAGAGGAAGCGGACAGTAGGGGACAAGGGAGACGAAGAGTGTAGAATATGCGTTGGATCCTGAGCTTTGTTGCAGCACGCGAAAAAGGATGAGGCTGCGGTTTGCAATCCGTTGGCGGCGGCGGGTTGTGCGGATCTCTCGCACTGGCTTTGTCGCTGAGAAATTGTGCAGAAGAAGAACCTGTAACTAAAACACCTCCTCGTGAAGGGAGAAGATTCGATCGTGATTGTCTGCCGTGAAGAGCGCAGAATGCTTGTCGCAAGCCGCTGCTGAATCTTGGACATGGTCATATACCAAGGCAATCCAAATGACGCAACGCCCTGCCGGAGAAGATTCTCGCCATGCCGATGGCGGGATTGCGGGAAACGATCACAACCAGAATGACAGCCACCCGCCCAAGCTCGAGCACCACCCGTCCCGAGTTGCCCTTGCTTCGGGGTACGTGCTGGGATTCGTGTTACAAATGCAAATCGCGCGAGCAAATGGAGTTATCATCTCCGAATCAGATATGCTTCTACTGATAACCATGGGCCAGACTCCCGCATAAGCAGCCAGATCAATAATCCAGCCCTCACTAATGCATATTTTAGAGTATAATCAAACTCAAGCATCTGATCTCATTTCCATTAAAAATCAGACATTCATATTGTTTCATGTTATCAGTAGGTATGTAGGTAGACCAATATTGAACAGTAACAGTATAAGAGACAACGGAAAAAAGTGAATCGGGTAGAACCCCCGGAGCCTCAGGATATCACCCGTGTCAAACTCAGTCCTTTCCTATTCTTCAATGACACGCCTCTTAGCCGAAAACACCCTCGTCAGAATCCGCCTATCAGCCGTTCAGAATCGTCAAATGACCGCTGAAAATGCCCATACCTGCCCCGACCGGAATAGAGTCAATTCCCCATTGGGTAAACTGCTGTTGCAAAAGAAACAAGTATATTTGAACGAAAAGGATGAGTGAAAGAGCAGGTACAGTAAGAGGAGACTCGACTGGTTTTATGCAATGGACCACGGTCGCGGACACGTTTTCGACCGCAATCAATCAAATGAGAACTCTGATAAGGTTTCCTTTTGTATGCCAACGATGATTGAGTCCCACCAGTTATTTTCTCTCCAAAGAAAAGCCTTCGAGCTGTGTCATCACCAAAGTCACACAACTTCCCACCCCCATGTTGGCAAGGCCCCGCTAGGACTTCTGTTCAACTGGGGTGGGAGCATGCGACAGACCATTGGTCGGAGGGTTGCGTGGGCTCTCACGCTCTGACTTAGGCATATTTGGCTTGGTTTCCTCGCCCTCGTCGTCGTAGTTCTCGTCCACGTCCATATGGCGCGCAGCAGGCTCATGGTGTTCAGGTCGCTCCTGCTTGGGTGCCTCAGACACACGAGGTAATGTCGGTGTCGGATTCATCGGTGGTAGGGCGGGTGCATGGTGAGCCGCTTCCGATGGGTGATAGCCTTCGTTGAAGCGCCGGGCATCTGGCGCATCTTGGGGGCTATGTCGGGGAACCTGTGGAGAAGATATTCTATGGGGTGGAGAGGGGCGCCGACTGTGAGGCTCGTCCATCTTCTGACGTTTTTCGTCATTGGTTGGAGGCTTCGGATTCAAGTGATCGTTGTCTTCCCACTCCCTTAGGCGCTTTGGTGGTGCAGTTGGGGGACGATCTTCACGCTCACGGGCAGCTGCTTCAGCCGCTGCGAGGGCTGAGGCTGGAGCGGGAGCTCCACTGGCAATACCACTAGCTGATGATGGGTCAGGATGATGTTGATATGGTGGTTGGTATCCATTGCGTGGGGATCCAGTTCGATTCTCAACAATGGGTCGAACCTCAGGTGGTGGGCTTGAAATGCGTCCGTAAGGTGGAAGAGGACCTTGGCTAGGCGGTCCGTTTAACCCAGTGGGTGGAGGTGGAGGTGGTGGAGGCACGTTAGCAGCGTGAGGACCATAGTTAGGATTCGAGATGCGATTTGGAGGTTGCTGATGTGACGGCAACTGAGCTTGAGATTGAGGTGCTTGAGGAGGGAGCTGTGGGGGTGCGGGGTGATATGGGCTGGGAGCGACACTATGGGTCTTTGGAGACGGAGAAAGGCCGCGTCGCAGAGGCCCAGGTCCCGTGGGTCCAGATCCAGGTCCATTAGGAGTTGGGCGGGGGGGCTCCTGGTAAGGTCTCATAGGTTCTTGCCTAGGACTAGCAGGTCGCTGAGGAGCGTGTTGCGCGGAAGGGCGAAGAGCCTCTCGCGGTTCATAAGGGTTCAGTTGCTGAGGAGGTAGACCCGGGTCGCGAATTTGGGCCAACGGACGATTCCACTCCGAAGCCAAAGCTGGCGGCGCTGGACCTTGAGGGGGCTGCTGAGGTTGAGGGGCACCCCATTGAGGGGCAGCGGGTCCATGTATAGAAGCAGGTTGATAGGCCTGTGGGTGGACGTCCTGCGGTACTGGAGCACTAGCTTGGTTGGGCACCCCATTCGATGTCTGACCGTTCTGCAAGAGTTGCAACCGAGCTTTGATGTGGACATTGGATGGGTCAAGATCTGCAGCTCGTTGATACGCGTCAAGTGCGTCGGCAGTCTGATTGTTGCAGGACTCGTACTGTTTCACAGTTAGGCATGGCGCACACGAATAAAAGGGCTTCGGGAGTGACATACCAGGGTACCGAGGTCGTACCAAACCTCCGATATGTTTGGGTTGAGTCGGATTGCACGGGAGTATGCGTCAAGCGCATCGCGATACTGGTTGATCTGATAATAGAGCACACCGATGGAGCACCAGAAGGTTGGGTTTCGGCCATCGCGGTAGACCGCTTGCTGGTAGGCTTCGTACGCCTTGGGGTATTTCTGCTGTGACATGTAGCAGCGGCCTAGCAAGTACCAGCTTTGTGCATCCGTTTGATCTGAAGAGAGCAATCAGCTACTTGCACATGATCGAAGTTGAAGAGCACAAGTACTCACCAGAGGCTACGGATTTCTCCAGGTACTCTATTGCTTGTTCCTGACTAGCGTAGTTGGTACTTTGCTGATGATGCAACCAGCCGAGCTGTTGGAGGACTTTAGCATGGCTGGGATCCCGTTCGAGTACCCGACGGTAAGCCGCCTTTGCGGAGTCGAACTGCACGTGACGATGAGTGATAGCCTTGAATGAACATTTTTGGATACTCACCTCTTTCTGCTGCTCGTAAACGTGGCCGATCTGGAACCAGATATCCTCCTCAGTCAAAGGGCGAGGTGGGTTAGTCACGATGTATTTAAAGCACTGAACTCCATTAGGACCGAACGGTGGAAGGGTTGGGTTGACTTACCTCCAAACTCTGATTAAATTTCTGTTGCTGCTTGTATATTATGCCGAGACGGAAGTAAATTTCATTGGCTTTTTCGAAGTTGGGCTCCATTCGCATCACTTGAGAAAAAGCTTCTTCAGCATGCTCAAGGGAGCCATAGCGATCATACAGGATTCCAATGCCATACCAGAGCTTCGGCTCCTACAAGAGTAGTTAGAATTGCCACAAAGGGTGCAGGGGATCAAATACCTTTGGATCTGTCAGATGGTAAAGTGCCTGCTGGTAGGCGGAGTAAGCCTGTTGTAGATCGTCCATCATCAAGTAACAGTGGCCTAGATGATGTTTAGTAATGAGGTGCGGAAATATGACTTTCAAAGTGCTCACCAAGGCTGCCCCATACATCTCCGTTAGCCGGATCTACCTTCAATATCGTTCGTAGATACTCGACAGCTTGCGGGAAATGATCCTTGGTTCGTAGAATGCAGGCAATGCCTTGCATGGCTGGAACAGACCACTGGTTGTACTTCAGCGCCTGTTCATAGCACGAGATTGCGCCGTCGAGGTCTTGCATCTGCTCAGAGAGTGATCCTGCAGCGCGTTTAGTGCTTGGAAGGAGCATGACAAGCGATGTCGTGATCGCGGTTTCACACACCAATCTGGTTCCACACAGTCTCGGTAAGCTGTGCAAGATATTGCGACGGCGTCTTGGGCTGATTCTGCAACTGAGGATGCCCGTTTAATTGAGGATGGGGCGGATGAGGGCCACCATGGTGCGGCGGCAAGCCCGTCGTGGGCGACGGTTGCTGGTGGCTCGCCATGGTTTATATTGACGTCACGGTGAGCACTTGATATTGTTTATTGTGCTATGTGTGTGAGTGAAGGCACACAGTGAACGCGATATGGCAGCGCAGCTGGGTCAGTACAGGAGGGCGGATAGCGGCACGCCGAGAACGTCTGTTTATAGTTAGTATTGGCTTTCGCGATGAAGTATCCGTGGTGTTGAGCGCATCAGATGCGTGAGAGAGATACTCACGGTGGTGGACTGGCGTGCCGTGGTCTAAATCGCCGCAAGGCCGTGACGCCGAGACGACAGATGTGCGCTGGACAGCAAGGAGCGCGGCCAAAAATCGAGTATCAACACCCGAGGATAGAGGGGGGTATCTAGAAAGACGTCACAGAGCACGAATTGCGACGGGAAATCACGGGGGTGAGGGCGGCGTGGTGGTGAGGACGAGGGCAGGGCAGACGGGGAGAGGAGAGGAACGAAGGAGAAAGCGGCCAGGCGAGAGGAACTTGGGTCGCTGGCAGGACGGGTATGCCAAGCGTGGGATAGGGTTTCTATCCAGAGTACGACCGTGAAGGCTGGCGAGGACGGACGTTGGAGGCAAGTGCAAGTGTGGGCCTGTGGGCCACCCAGCACCGACAAGGGTCCGCGAGCGGGCGTGTTTTGCCGCGCCTTCCCTGCTCGCTTCCCAGGGATCTTGACCGAGTTAGCGCAACGCCCCGGTCCGCTTGGCGTGTGTCTGGGTTCACAACCTCATTCGCTGCAGGCGCTGCCTTTCCGCCGCGCCTCCTTGCCTGCCACCTGCCATCCGTTCCATCACGGCAGCGGTGGCGCCTCTTGCCAGCGCCCAAAGAGAGGCTTGAAACGCACTGCTCGGGGAATGCTGGCAGCCTGAGCCTCACCAAACTCTAAATCGTTCGGTGCCGGCCCTGTCACCACAAAGAAGAAAACATGACGATTTGCTGGCGCCGCTATTGCTGTATTGAACTTCGGCATCTCCTGTCTTGTGCCTGGCTCCCTTCTTGCCTTCACTCCCGCGCCGTGGCCTCGGAGACACTACCAGTTCCTCCTGACCACCCAAGGCTGTCATTCTCTCAACTGTCGTGAGGTTATCATTCAGGCGGTGCACCGCTTGCGAACGTGGACGCATGGCGGCGGGGACGATGGAGAAAAACGAGTGCACACACAGTAGTTTGCATTTTGCATTCATCCAGATAATTCTCCTATTCCGATCCATCGACCAACCCCCGGTCGTTCCTCCCAGACTCCCCCTCTTTCTCCCCACCACCTCACCAACCAGTGCGCATTAATGCCTGGGAACGAACAGCCAGCCAAGATCCCAAATCATATTGGAATTCAGTCCCGGACCTGCTCCCGTCAGAGGTGCTCCTGTCAGAGGAGTGGCTGATCGCGTTGCGGGGCCTCATTTAGCTAAGAGGCTGAGATAACGTGTTCGGCCAGTCAGATCCAGGGAGTCGCCTTACGGGGCGATCACTCAGCTTCCCGCCAGCCGGGCCCCTTCATGGCTGCTTCTCTCCATTTCGTCTCCGAGCAACATTCCTTTTGCTTGATAAAAGGCAGCTGGGGCGCCCGCTCGTACGATGTTGTCCGGCTTGTTGCCCGCTGCTCGTTGCTGCTGCGAGACGGAAGGCTGCCGCGGCCAGAATACCTCATGCAAGCCTGCGACTCACTCCTCGACGCCCGCAGGCCAGCAGGCCAGATGCACGACGCAGCAGGCTCTCGCTCGCAACAAAGCACGGCGAACTAGCCGTACAGCGCTCAAGTGTGCTGAAGACACAAATGTTGCAGAGTGTGCGTCGGGCAGGCTGACACCTGTGGCGCGCTCGCGCACGAGGGAGCAAATTCGGCCAGTTTGGCCAGGATGGCTTCACGATGGACCAGATCTGCATCTCTGCGGCGCCAAGCCGCGCTCACGTCTCTCCACACATCGTCGCAAGCTTCCGGCCGCCTTCTTAGCTCGCCTGGGCGCTGCGTCCGTGCTGTGACGCAAATGTCTCTCCGCTCCCGCGTCGGCAGAAAAGCTCGTGTCACACCCCTCCTGCTGCAAAGTGCCAACCCTGCCACTGGTTGCAATCTGACAAGAGCCGGTGATTTGTGGGCGCATAAGCATGCAGCCGGGGGCTTTTGGCACAAGGCCCAGCATATCGAAGCATGCGACGGGCATGTACCTGGCCCCTGGAGTCCTTCTCGGGTCTGACCGTCGATTTGGCGGAACAGCCAGCCTGCTGTCCGCCGTGTTGCCTGCTGTTCTCCGTGAGAGGTGTGAAGGAGGCGGACGCCTATGCATCGCTCCCATCGTCATCGTCCAGCCATGACTCGCTCCGCGGTGCGACCAAACTCCAAAACAGCGTTCTCAAGCAGCCTGGCCGCAAGCCAGCGACTCCACACGCCACTTTGGGATGTTGGGGGTCTTTCCTCAACCGCAGCCACGTGAAACGATTTGGATGGCTGAACGACCGCCACTGTGCAACGAGTGGATCCAGGGGGCCACTGCGCGTCATTTATTAACGAGCGGAACTGCCGACTAGCGAGCTGTAACAGAAAGATGATATGCGCCCTCGTGCACAAAAGGAGGCCATGAGCCAGCTGAACCGCTGTTGTTGTTTTTCAGCAAACTAAACTTGCCCTCCAGGCCCGCCCATTTACTGGACTCGAGGCTCATGTGGACATGTTCCTTCGCGGAAAACGGGGAACGGGCCACCATGTAGCTAGCAGCTAGATTTGGTTTTGGGGGTTTCTTACCATTGGAAAGACCTTAACTCTCCATGGATGGTCCGTCTCGCTTCCGAAACGCTGTACCCGCACAGTTTCATCGACAAGCTTAAGAATATTTTTGGCATTAATTACGCACTTGATAGAGTTGTGAACATGATGAGATTCTTAATGATCCTCCTAGCATACATACTTGCCTGATTATAACCTTCCGGGCGGAAAGTTTGTGCTACCAACACTACGGCCAAGACAAGGCTGAAGCCGTCCGGAGCTACACACTCTGGGACTGAATATTTCTCCTTGCATGAAATCTATAGTGCAGGAGTCATTTTGCCCAAGGAATGGAACATAGGAGATCTTTCTGCACGGGAGCGGAGCCTGTCTAAAGTCCTGGGAGTAGGTCGAAACCTCACTCCACTTTGATCTCTGCACGCTTGAACAAACACGAACGCTGAGTAAGGTGCTCCGCATGCTGTCTACGGAGGTCCAATCCTAATTCCCAACCAGCACAGCCGTCGTAGGAACTGCTGAAAGCGCGGGCTTCCCGCTGACTTCTGTGCCACCACCCTCTCGTATCCATCCCAACTCTCCAGCCGCCAACACCGGAATCCTCTGTCAATAATCATACTGCAGATAGACGCTTACATTGTCCCTACTTTGAATCCTGCGTCTTGGATTTTAATTTAGCCAGACTGATCGCCCAGAAACTCGGTACCGAAGACGATGACCAGGATAATCTCCTCTCGAATCGTCACGTCTATCCACCCCAGCTCATCACATTCATATATCCGAACATTACACGACATCTCAATCCTTGCCCCCCGTCCGCCAATATGTTAATAAACGGGCACTTTGTACGCTCCGGGGAACGATGGGTGCCCTCCATATATTGCAATAAACGTTTCGTCTTGCACCCGTAATTGGAACGCGCTCCAGGCTCCGCGGCTTGAATGTCTTGCGACACATCACTTTTCCTTTCTCCCCGATATGTGGATGCATCCACAACCGCCGATCAGACCCCGCGTGGGCGAACCGATTTGGCAGGCCACTGCTATCAGTTTCCGCATGACAATGCGATGTGATGGCCCATCTCAGACAGATCGGCACCTCATTCCGGGGTGTAAAAAGCCCACCTCAGGAAGGACCAGCCACAAGCTTGCATCTGGCGTCAACTCCATTGCTTGCCTCTATTCTCGTGATGGGAGCCATCGCGTGATGGTGGCTTGTCTCAGTGGGCTGGACGAGTGGCTGGCAGCCGCAAAACTCCACGGAGACACTACATTTGAAGAGCCGAATGTTCCCCACTCATGTCGAGCCCAGAAGTCAAATTCGTCACAGATATATTTGGTACTTCTTGTTTGGGACCCATCTCAGGATAAGGCAAACCAGAGGTGCGGATCAGAATGCGCGGGATGATCCGTGGATGACAGATGCTGTTGTTGGGCGCGTAGAGCGGTTTCGGCATCCGTTTCAGTGAGACAAGGCATACTTTTTTTTCCTCAAGTTACTAGGCGGTTTTCATCCGAGGTTGAAGAATCGGTTGCCTGAGATCAAATGCGACCACCACTCATAATCGGGTAGTCGGAAAAACAAACCCCCAGAAACCATCTTATCAAGATCGAGTGGCTGCCGGTTGTCTCACCTCTTCCGCTTCCCCTTTTGCCTTTCCCCTTCCTATTTCTGCTTTTGGTGTCTCGTGCACCCAAGCGAGGTGGCGAATCTCGTGAATTTCTGCGCGAGAGCAGCCCATCCTGGTATTTATTATCCGACAACTCACCCAAATCCCCGTTCTTCCTGTTCGTCTTAAATTACCACCTTGCACCTCACGATGCTTTTGCCGCCCTATCGACAGCCTTTCCGTGGCAGAGCTGAACACCAGGGCTACCACCGCTTCGGTGACTAAACAGAGACGAGAACGATCTTTCCTCTACTGAATGTCTGGCCCACTGGCTAGCCTGTAAGAATGTAGGCATATCTCTTTTGTAGAAAGTGCATAATTATTAGACCTCATCAAACTACACCCGACTATATGTATTGTTATACTCTCACTTGGCTCTGTTCTGTTTATTGCTTTTCCCTCCTGATGCATGCGGTCCTTTGTTCTCCAAGTGAACTCTCTTTTCAATTAACCAGCATTTTGTCTGTGAATGGACCAGTATGTTAATACGATTATCCTCGTGCTCTTCCAAAAGAATGTACCGCGGGATATCTCCGTTGCGCTCCGCCAGCCGTACCACTGTTCCAGACGTCGACGGAGATTGAGGCTTATCCATTAGCGCCTTTAGTTTGATGGAATAAGGTTCTCCCCTGCGAACTCTACCAGAGTCTACCCAATAAGCATTACTTTCAAGGGCCGTGTGGACTCAGCATCTTGATATAACCTACCATTCTCCACAAACATCATACGAAGACATTTCCGTTCCCGGCACGCTGGCTACAAGTTACAACGTTGTTTCTGTCCTATCATCTTTATCAGTCCTCATCTCATCGTTGGGTGTGCTACTACTTTAGGGAGTGAGGACTTCTGTGTCGTGCATTGGACCGCGCGGACGTGACAAACCATCCAGTTTCAGGAAAGGACCATTCTCCCTCCTCCAATGATCCGGGAGGAAAAACCAGAGGTCAAGTGATCCGCTACTCTGAAAAGGCATTCTATCGCGGGAGTCAAAGATTCCAATCACTAATTCTTACTGCACCTCCCCACTTACCTGAGAACATGAATAGGATAGAGTACGTCTGTCGGACCTCTTGCTAGGGTGGGGGAGGACTTCAACAGGATGTAAATCTGTATGCCAAACTACGTATGTCATCTTCAACTAGGTGACAAGATGCGTTAAACGAAGTGAAGCGCTCGGGGTCGACAGTGGTGAGTTACAAGTGAGAATTTTCTTAACAATCACAACCTCTATAGAATCTCCAATGTCGTTTGTAATCCCTCATCTATCCCAAAAAGCCCTTATCTTCAAGTACACGTAGGAAACTGGCATGCCGAGGCCAATCTTTGCACGTAGATGGTCGCATAGCCGCTATCGCGGAGAAGCTTCGCACTGAAGCTAATATCGTGGAGCCAAAACTCGCTCTCATACATGAGGGGGTGAATGAGCTGAAAATGGCGAACAAGGCGCTCGAGGAAAAGAATATCAAGCTTGAGATCGATGTGGCGGGAAAGACGACGTTAATCATTCAGCTTGAGGACGCTCTTCACAAAATCAAGATTCGTGCGAGAGAGGCTGAAAAGGGGAAATATTTGACTAAGAAGAAGGTAGCAGAGTTGGCATCCTGGGTGCAAGAAGCTAATCTTGAGAAGTTTAGGCTCGAAGAGGAATTCGAGAAAGCCCTTGCGCAGGAACGAGCAGGCAGCCAGAAAATTGAGCATGGCTTGGAAGCTAGGTTCGACTATGTGGACTGGGAGAGGGCTGAGAATGCGAACAGGTTGTGGCCTATGTTTTTCGAGAAGCACACTCTTGAGAAGAAAGTCCGGATGTTGGAGAGCAAGATCAAAAGGATGAAGGAGTTTCTGGGATAAGCTACCAAAGTAGTTGGGTGGCTGAGAGCCTCGTGGTACTCTTTCCTTCTTAGATCGTGTCTGGGCAGAGGCCATATGACAGCATGAGTCAGTGAAAATGTTTAGTGGTGCGATGAAGCACATTCTAACTGGCATAATAATTTCCGATTTGGTGCACTTGCAAATGCCGTGAATCTCTAGCAAGTGGGACGTACAGTTTAGGGCTGCATCTGAACCGTCCCAACAATAAGACAAACCATTTTCACTCACTTTCTGGATCACCCCCTAAGATACTTGCGCACCAAACGGAAAGGAACCGAATCTTCTCACCCCTTACCTTACCATATTTCGTGAGACACAAAAATCATCCAAGGTATTGTCTTAAAACAAAATCTAAGGTCGTCCCCATGCACACCAACCCCTTATCTCCCTTATCCTACCATGACCCTCACTCGTTCCATTCTCTCACCGCACAAACGGCCGCGTTAAACTCCACCTCAACAACTTCTCCACCTTAACCAACACCACAGACTGGATCTCTGTCCTCGAAACTTAAAACTCAGCTTTACATGAGCTTAACCGGATTCAACTTGATTGCTGCAGGGAGTAGTACAGAAGATTCTGTGTGAAAGAATAACGGTAATGGGGATGTGGGATGGGAAGATTCTGGAGTTGACGAGAGAGAAGGCGGCCAGAGGAGGAAATGGGGGGCTTGGGGGAGAAGATAGAGGAATGAAGGAGGGGGGCTCTATAGTGTTTAGCTAATAGTATGCTGAATGTTGATAGGGATATGGAATGTGTGGAGGATGTTAACGTGCAGGAGGGTAGAACGAAGGGCTAAGCCGGTGAGGATGTCGATTCAGACGAGAGAGATTGCCTGCGAGATGACCTCGAAGTCCGAGCACTACCACCGACACGAACATCATCTCCGAACCATGGCAGTTTTAGCTATACTTCCAACTCCTTCTGGATACCCAGCGTCGTCTTTTCCACGATGCTTTGAACCCGGGGAATTGGGCGGCGGTATACGGGGTTGGTAGTGAGAGGAGGTTTCACCGTGCTTGACCAATGTTCTTAGCGTGTTTCTATCGTGCATTCGAGATCATCTACCGTAAACTCTACATCCCCAGACCAACGTGTGTCAGTCAGGGCTGTATTTCATATCGCACCCTCTCTCATCAACCCTCACTCTTCTCTCCCCGTGTCTTTATCTGCGTCTGCGCCTTATTCCTGGCTTTGACTCTTCGACTCTTTCTCCCTCTCTTTCTCTACCATCTTTTCTGCCTTTGTCTTCTCCTCCTCCTTCCCACTCCCCCATATCCCTCCCAACTTAACCTTTTCCATAGCCCAATTGATGACACTCTCCTGATTCCGCTTATCCACCTCCTTCTCCAATTCCTTTGCCTCCTCATCCTCGCTCTTCCCCTTTTTTTCTTTCTTCTCTCGTTCCTTCCGCTCCATTTCTTCCACGGCTTTCATCTCGCCTTCTTCCTGTTCAACTTCCTTGATATCAATGTCTTCAAAGCCTATTTTCTTGAGGATAGAGCCGGTGAGGTATCGATATCGCAAATGCCCGTTAACAAGCTCCGAAACATCTACGTTCTGGACCCCTGAAACGCCAAGGATAGGTTGTAGACCCGCGACGCCATATTGCACCGAGGAGGTACGATAGAGGAATGCGAGAATATAGTCGTTGGTTGAGAAGACGTTGACGACTCGTCCACTTACCACACTACGTACTTTCCTCCAGTCTGCGGCATCGGAGGGGGTGGGCGAACCAAGTAGTACCACGGATTCAACGAGCCCAAAGGCCTTGCGGTCCGCTAGGCTCTGGAGACAGGCGAAAATGAGCCTGGCGCCTAGCGAGTATCCGATGAGTGTTACGGGCCGCTCGCCTTGGACCTTGTTGATTAAGGCATCGGCGAGGACTTCACCTGCTTTGTCTGCACGGACTTTGGCAACGCTGAATGGATTGTCAAGGACTTTTGACACTTTGAGTAATGCGAGGGGCCAGAGTCCGGCTGATAAGGCACCAAATACTGTGCGCTTAATGATTTGCCCCTTAGCGTAACTCCACGCTGCGCTCTTAACAAAGCTGTCCATAGAGTTTCCGAGTTTGAGTAGGGCTTCCAGTTCCCAGCGTAGTGCAAAGCCTTCGATGGAGGGAGACATGTAGCGCCATGGCACCACGACTTCTTCTTTCGAGGTCAGCCAGCCTGAGATTGCTATTGCGATGCGGAGACGACGGAATTCTTTCTCGAGTTTGCGTGGCCGATGGTGGTTGTGAATTGGTATGAATCCAAAGTCTTCGACTTCTCGAGCATAGTCATCCATGGCTTTCCCTGTCATACGTGCTCCGTACGCACCGAAGAGTCCGCCAACAAGAACAGATGAACTTGCAAGCGTCCCCAGATAGCCTGCTGCTGCTGTAGCGCCGAGACCGAGACCACCCATGACAGTGCCAATCCCGGCTGCGAGGAGTGGTGCTGCGAGTCCACCAGTGACACCGATGAGGGCCGCACCGGCCACACCGGCAAGGCCAACTTTCCATTTCCGAGATGTCGCCGACGACTCGACTTTCTTCTTCGTTTCGGCATCGGCATTGAGTTGCTGGTCTGCGACTTCTAGCAGACCTCTTGCAATAGTTTCTTCGTCCTGCTTTAAGATTGAAAGGTCGAGGTTGAGCGATCTTGTAAGATGCAGAAGCAGGATCCTCGAATGCGCAGAATAGTGCTCTAAACTTAACAAAATAAGCACTAAACTATGCAAGACTAGTGCTCTTTTATTCTCCTCCAGCTCCATCAAGCTCGTCCTAACAGGCGGATACAGCTCCTTAAACACTATATCCTCGTCTTCGCCCTTGTCTTCGATATCAGCAATTCTCCTCAACGATGTATTCTGTCTCTTAACACTCTGCTCAATCTTAGGATCCGGAACCTGTTTACTCTGCTCCTTGGCCTCCTCCCTTGAATTCACAACCTCTCCCACCCGTATGATAACCCTGCCCCTCCACTCATCAAAATACCTCAACATCTCCTTCTTCAGCTCCTGCACTTCCGGCTTCTCCAACTCTTTTCTCGCATCTTCCACTCTCTCTTTCTTCTCTTTGCGCAGCTTATCTTCCTTCTCAACATCGACGTCTTCGGGATTGCTGGGTGCAACCTTCAGTGCTTCCTCTTCTGACTTTTTCGCATTCTGGGACGGCGTTTCTTCTGCGGTAAAAGTGTCTAGATGTGATTTATGCATCGCCGCGGTTATTATGGCGATCAGGAAGGTGAGATCGGCGCATTGGTCTTCGGTTAGGAGGGTTGTGAGGGAGGTTTCGGAGTCAGAGGATTGGGACGGGGATTTGGAGTGGCCGAAAGGGAGGTGGGATGTGAGTTTGGACGCCATTGTTAGGGGGAACAAAGGTGAGAGATTCACCAAGGGAGCAGCGAGGAAGTATTTTTGATGTTTACATGGACGAGCAGGTATGAGCCTTCCTTTTCGGAAGCTTGGATGAGGAAAATTTAGCAATAACAAAGGAAGAATAGCGATATAGACGAACAAATCTCCCGTGCCGCCGACAATGTTCATACGGAGCACCGCGTCGGTCAGTTGCAAAGTCAGGTTTGACATTCGGAAGACAGACGCCGACATACCGATTCCGGCTTGGCGACACCTTAAAACTGTGAACAGTAACAAAGGGGCAAACTTTAGCCCACCAACAACAGAACACGGCATTATAATATTGCATTAAAACACCTAGAATATAGTAATAGACCTAGTAAAATATATTTATTTGCCTTAAAAATCTAGAATATTTGCAAAAGTGGTGGAAAGTTTTATAGGCCAATTAGACATTAATCCGGCTCTTTTTTAAACCAATAAGAGAAAAGACTTGGCAAGATGTACAGTGAATAATAGAGATGTTGAAGAACGAATGTTAAGTGTGGCTCGAGCTGATGTGCTGCTGGGATGACGTCGTGGCGGGGCAGATGGGTCGACGCTGGAGCTAGCCTATTTGGGACATATATCTATTTTGATTACATTAAGTTGATCTAAAACTTAGCTGATTAACGTCCCTCACTGCGTAGCGAGACACACTGCGTGGCGAGACAAATGAGGGGTACTTTGACTTTTAGCGCATAGAAAGCCCATGTGCACAACGAATATTGCCATATTCGTACGAAAATAATCTGCTGTAGTTAATTCTGAATGTCTACAATCTACTTTACCTAAAAATTACTTTTGCATCGTCGCCTCCGCGCCCCGATTTGTACAGCGCCTTATGCCGTGGCATAACAGGCCTTCCTCCTCACAGCGCCAACCTTAAGCCTTTTTCGCTCCAAACTTTTGTACAATGGCCTTATGCTAGCCTTAAACCCTCACTCTGATGTTCTGAAGTCATCATCAGCCTTGTGCGCGCTATGGCGGGCAGATTCATGCAGGGTCGCCCCGTCAATGGGTACCTCTAGCGGAAGCGAGTACCGATCCGGGCTAATGCGAGATAACCCCGCACGTCTTACCTTACACATTTGCAGGTATTTTATTGTGGCTGTGCGAACTACACAAGCGTTCGGATTATTGTTAACTCCGGCATGGGATTGGGAGCAGTAATAAGACATGGCCTAGTGCTTGTTTAGTCAGCTAACGCGTCTCAGCGTCTCAACCGCTCGAGACAGCCATCGTGCAACTTCGAGATGCAGTCCAACGTACAGCGATACTCATTACGACGCCCTCGAGCTCCGACGCCCGCTGTTGTCCTTTTCGCCGACCGAACGAAAGACCTGTTCAAGCAACCACGTCCTCATGCTTCTCGAGCCCACCGGCGCCGATTCCTAGACCAAGCGGCAGCCGAGATCTTGTCCCCGCTCATCAAAAGGGAACAGAACGAGATAGGAGAGGTGTAAGATAAGATAGATTGCGACTGTCCTGGAAATCGAAGCTTACGCTTTGGCGGGTGGACTTAGTGGCACTGGCAGAACGCCATTGTTGCAAGCACATACGAAGGCGGAAAGGCCAGACATGTCTTGGTGATACAGCTGTCGTACGGCCAAACAACTAACGGCTCCTTACATGTGCACTGAAATCTCTAGGGCCGTAGAGACGTGCTTCAGTTTGACCTCTAAGGGCTATGAGGAATTTGGATTATTTATGTTTGTAAGGGAGAAGTATTAGCAGAGATGTGACGATGGTTATGCTTGGCAAGACTCTACACTCTTCAGCCATATCTACAAACCATCGCCCCCAGCGCAAGGGTATGGCTAGTGCGGGTCGGCCACGCTCCCTGCTTGTGGTGGCGATATCTAGTGGCAAATTACTTTGATTACAGTCAGATATCACTCGTAAGCAATGCTTATATTGCTCACCAGTTCCACATTTGCACGAGCGTTATATTCTACAAAACGATGAAGTGTCAAAGTCCTGTCTCTATATTCTCCATTCGCCACTTATTCAGAGCATCAAGTGAGGACTCTGTTTCAGGATGATGAGGGCCAAGGATCCGTCTCTGCAACTGGAAGCATTTCTCCATCAGTGAAATGGCTTTGTCGTTGTGACCTTTGCCCTTCCACGTAAATGCGAGATTGTTCATGCTGGTCAGCGTGTCTGGATGCTCCGCCCCAAGCACCGTCTTTCTCGTCTCCATTACATGCACGTCCAGCTCTCCGGCCTCCTTCCATCACCTTTAGCAAGGAGGATACAGCGTTCCTTGCTCTTAGTGAGATGGAAGATACCCACAATGGCAAATCTATCTGTCAGTGTTGCACAAGTGGCAGTACGACGATCATTGCTGTTTTCCATCTCTTTGGGTGGTATCCCAAGTGTACAGATGCAGCGAGGATCGCGTTGGGGGGCAAGGATAGTGTAGCTGTAGTTAGAATATGAGTATAGCTCTTACAGATCTTGGCAGACCGAGCAAGGGTTAGAAATAAACAAAGTTTGTCTGACCCATTCTCTCCAACCAACCTGGGATTCATTTGTCGGTGCGCGAGAAAATGGTATGCGAATGGCCCTCGAGCCTATTGCGGCAACACCCTGTCGCTGTGTCCCACAGCCGCATGGTGTCTTCCCGGACGCGGACGCTGCAAGCTGGTCGTACGCCCTCGAATCATTGAGCAGGCTGAACGTGGCAACCGCACCTCATCGCCAGAATGCCGCAGCAACCGTCCGTCACAGCGTCATAGCATCCCTCATGCGCAGCGCCATTTCGCCTCCTCAACGCTGAGCGTCTCTTCATGGCACGATGCGACGGCTCCTGAGCCTGTTCCGATCGAACAGCAAAGCGACAGTCCAACTCCGAGGCAACTCCCCTCCTTACTCATTCATTTACTTGTTATCCTACTCATCTATCAAACCGCCCTGCGCGAGTAGGCAACACTCGGAGTTGGGAAGGGCGAAAAAGCCTCACATGGGTGGCGGAGCGGGGGCGGTGTTCGGAATTTCGCTCAGCCCCATTCACGCATGCCACCACCGCCACTTTTCCGCTTTCAATACGAGAACCGGGGTTTCGACGTTGCATAAAAGTAGTAGGCAATTAGGCACTCGTATGTACAAGTGCGAAGTTTCAGAATATCTGAATACTCTTTCGTCTTGCAGATTTCTTTGTCTCACCCGTCGGCTTTACAACTCACATTATCCTCATCTATGTTGACACGTGCCGGACGCAAGGATGGCAGTACAACTTCAGTGGAGCCTAGATTCGACTTCAGATTCATTTCTCGCCCTTACACGTGGTTTCATCCGGGCAGCAACTAGTGACAATGTGTCGCCTGTGGCCATTACGGTTTGCAATGCCTTCGGAAGCACAATTGCCATGTGTCAAGAGACCAGCAGGAGGATTGAAGCTCATGTTGCCCCGACCCCAAACCCAGCAATAATCAATTTTCTTCAAGCTACCGCTGGATATTCTAAGGATGACTGTGCCTCAATTATGAGCCGAACCTTGGGTGGCGTGCAGTTTCTAGGGCTAGCAGCTGCCATTGTATCGTCTATGAATCCCCTCGAAGGTGCAAGGGCCTTGGACTTGATGCTGAGAGAGTCCGCCTCCGAAGAGTCAAACTTGCCGACTCTCAGGCAACTGAAGGAGTTCCTAGTCATCCTGGAAGCCAGATGCAATCTCTCAGCATTCGCAGATACAGTCGTCGGTTGGCAGATTTTCCTTACTGAGAAGCCGGTACTGGCGCCAGTGCTTGGAAAGTCAACTCTTTTCACCCCTCCACCAGAGGGGGTGGCGCATCTCGTTCGTGCCTTTCGTGAACTTCATCGCCTTGGAGATTCTAGTGCATCAAAAATCATTATACATACCACTTCATGCACAGCTTGGGTGGTGGCGTTCACGAAATGGTGCCTTGGAGTCCCTCCCTCGGTTTTCTCGGATGAAGGGACGCCGATTCTCGAACAGCCTGACTCTACTGTCAGTGTCATTACCCGCAGCAAGTCAAATGACGATTCTCAATTCCAGGTTGAGGTTCTTGACGACATTGGCGTTTCTCTTCTTCGACTTGCAGCCCATAATGGAGAACAACGATGGGCCGGTATGGTTGGCATTGGGAGCTACGGTCAGTGGCTCCTTCGAGAGTTTAGCTTCTACAACGAGGCAACAGTTCAAACTTTAGAAGAAATGCTTCCTTATGCACTACACCAGACTGTAACTTCCTTGAAGTTTTCCAGGTATCGACTATTCGATAATTCAGGCCCAATCGACAATTGGCCGGAAACTGCGTCAAAGCCGAACTCTCCTCAAATTATCAACAGCATGCTAGAGCTGGGGCTCACTCCTTTCCCCGAATATGGCTCAATCTCAAGGATTATTTCTTTGGCTTTCAATATGACAGAGCAGCCAACCATACGACGACTCGAGGAGGGCACGCTCATTGCCGACCTTCCCGTGATGAATTCATATCTGCAGACTTTGGAAAAACACTGCCACTGTTCTCTGTGTTCTCAAGAAAATATGGCTGCCTACGAAAGCTGTGCGAAGGATCGCTTTTTCTGGAATGCTGCCCATATGGTTGCTGACATACTGGCATTATCACTCTTTCATGGGCCTCACGCTCCCCTAATCTGGTGTGGGCATACTCTTTCGTCAAGAAATAGCTTCGTAGGAGCAATTTATTCCATCCTGACCGCTGGAAGTATAAATCACTGCGAAATCTATTCTGCACTGGAATGGGCCCATGATTTAGTTGGGCATAATGTTTTACCGGAGAATAATCCGAGGGATTGGATTATGTCCTGCTACAAAGGACAGGTGATATACCCAGCCATATTTGACTACTTCTCTGTCCGGAAACATGGATTCTTGGCTATGTTTTGGCTTCCCGGTTCCTTGCGTTATAAGGGAGGAACTTACAGCCGGGTCCAGAGTTCCCATGGACCAGTATCCGGGGAGGACCCAATCACCGCCACTTACACGAAACCGGTGTCCCAACTTTGCAACCTTGTCCCTGGTTTGAGATTAAGCTGGAAAGTCAAAGTTGGAGATGATGTTCTTGAAGCCAGTGTCAGCTTAGACGGTATGGGAGGGACATATTCTCATATCACATACCCTCCAGGAATGATTTTGCCTAACCTGGCATCTGCGCTATTGGTCGAGGCATGTCAGCACGAACATGGTCAGGAATTGGCCACAATTAACCCCTTTTTGGCTTACACAGGACCCATACGTCCCGTCTTTTCTAAGAACAACATGGTGCACAAAGTTGGGGTTGTCGCTGTTAGTGGGGCTAATGATATGCGGCTATTTTCTCTTATCTGCGCCGGCTACCATATCCCTATCATTCTGCGAGGAAATGCTTGTTTGGCCTGTTGTATTGACATTTACCGGAAAACAAGATTTCCGGTTATTGTTCTCTAGATGAGTCATGAGGTATCGTGGATGTGTTTACATATTGTCTGATTCAGTTTGCCTCCATAGAGTAGTAGCTCTGTAGCTACTTCTTCATTCATCTCTGGCGCCTACACTACGTTCTGATGTGCAAGCTTGACAACTGTCTTCCTGTCGCGCGTCGTGAAGAAATACACCTCTGCTTGCTTGTTGGCAAGTACTCGACCAAACGGCCGGATGCCGGCTCAGAATCGAGCTTAGCTATCCACATATCGAAGTTATCAGCGTTGTCAAACACTAGCAGCCACTGGCCTACGCGTTTCTTGCTCAGGTAATCTTGCACAGTTCTCTTTACATCTGCATTTCCTTTTCCCAACCGGGTATGCGGAGTTTTCGACCAACGTCCATATACGCTCGATGAAGACTTTCCATGGCAGTAGCCGGGATCCAGATAACCGAGCAATCTCCATATATTTCTTTTATTTGGTAGACGAGCTCGAGCGCTAGCTGCGTTTTACCTATACCGCCGAGTCCCATGACTGCGACCTTTGTGGTTTGACCTCTCGTAAGGAGCGTCTCTCTGAGCTTTGTGAGCATAGACTCACGACTGGTAAAGCGGGGGTTTCGTTCGAATGGTAGTAGGAGGCGATTGAGCTTCAATGATTCAATATCGTGTTGTTAGGTAAGCGTGCTTACAAGTGATATCGAACAGTAATAAAAGTGATCTGGTACTGGATGTCGCCATCACAAGCAGCATGGGTGGTCGACCCGCACCGGCCATACCCTTGCGCGGGAGGCGATGGTTTGTAGATATGGCTGAAGAGAAGAGTGCTGTATGCAGATTTGGATAGTGTAGAATCTTGCCAAGCACGGCCACCACCACAGCTCTACTACTCAGTACTCATCCCTCACGAATATGAACGATCTAAATCCTCATGACCGTCGGAGGTCGTACTGAAGCACATCTCTACGGCCCTGGAGATTGCAGTACACATGTAAGGAGCCGTTGGTTGTTTGGCAGTACGACATCCATATCACCAAGACATGTCGAGCCTTTCCACCTTCGTGTATGCTTGCAACGGCGGCGTTTCGCCAGTAACGCTCGGTTGAACCCACTTGCCGAAGCGCCTGCGGCACGCTATTTTAACTTGTATCCTTCCCATCACATCGTATTCCCCTTCAATGAGCCGAGATTAGAGCTCGCTGCGGCTTGGTCTAGGAATCGGCGCGCCGGTGGACTCGAGAAGCACGAGGGCGTGGAGGGCTCGATCAGGTCGTTCCATTCAGTCAGTGGAAGGGACAACGGCGGATATCGGCACTTAGGGGCGGCGTAATTGTATGGCTCTACATCACAAAGTAGGTATCGCTGTGCGCTGGACTGCATCTCGAGGTATATGGGGTCGCTGTGTCGAGGCCGCGTTGGCGGACTAAACAAGCACCGGGCCATGCCTTATTACTGCTCCCAATCCAAGTCAGATTTAACAATAATCCGGACGCTTATGCAACTCGCACAGCCTTATCTCAGCTAGCTCAGCCGGCTGATGAGAGAACCGACAACGCACATACCACCATGCATACTGCTACTCCTAACAGAGTATAACCTAGGGTTAGTAGTTTTAAACCCCTACAACTAATGTTTTCTCTTATTAGCTATCTAAAAAACTTTAGTAATTTTTTATATACATAACTAATTTTAACTACTTAAGGATAAAGACGTAATTTTAGATAGTATAATAAGTATATTATACACAGACTTTAAAAGTTAATATAACATGTAAAACTTTAGTAAGAACATTATAAGTATATTTTAAACAAAATTTAATAATATTTAGGGCAATTTAAATCTATTTACATGTGTAATGTAACCTTTTTTACAACTAATTTTACATGTTACTTTAAACTCCCCCCCCTTTTATTATCTACACCTATGTATTATAAAGCACTTATATTTTAGGCGCTATTTATTTTTACTATTACAAACTACTTCTAGCTTCTAGATTTGCTAATTTTGTCCTGTGCGTATAGTTTTATTATAGTAAGTAAAACAGTACTAATGCTTATGTAGTAAGCAGTTTAAACACTAAATATTATAAGTATCTTCTTACATATTATCTATATGTTTATTTACGCACTTTTTAATATATACTACTAATTATTTACTATAGTAGCTACTATGTAGACTAGAGAGCTAGGTTAGCGCGCAGGGAATTAGAGTTTAGGTAGAAGGCTAGCATAAGTATAGCTTACACTAAGTCTTTTAGCTATTTACTTAGAAAAGACTACTTATTTAGTGCTAAATAAGAACTATGTAGCGCTAAATTAAGTATATAAACTAGCTAGCATAATGCTTTCTTATATTAAAGCCTATTATTAGCAGAGCTTGCTCTGCTTATTATATTCGGGTTTGCAGAACGAAAAGTTGAGCAGAATCTCCTCTTTTGGACGCGCTAGTTAGTCAGAATTTCTTCGGATAAACCCC